CTTTTGATATTTTTGTCATGTCATATGTGAAAATTGAAAGAAATGAAAATGAAAATGAAAATGAATGAATCTTATATAGGATTCAATGATGATGTCATCATGTTTATTATTATTATTATTTTTTTTACATCTAAATAAAAAAAAATTTGTCATCATCATCATCATCATATATCATTTTTTCACATCAATAATCAATCGGGAAAAGTGGGAGTATTTTTTTTTTCTGGCCTCCACCCACGCCGTCACAAGATGAGCAAAAAAAAAAAAAACATTCGACATCATTTTTTTTCAACATCACATCTTAACAACTAGAAAAAAAACCAACTAAGCAGCGAAAAATGTCAATGCTATAACCTCGTTGTTGTTGCTGTTGTTGTTGTTTGACTGAATAAATTATTAATTATTATTCAACACCAACATTATGACAACAACAACAACAACAACAGCAACCATTTTCATTATTGATGATGAAGATGATGATAAAAAAAATATGAAGACGATAAATAAAGATCAATAAGATCACATGAGATGAAATGAAATGATGTGTGTGTGTGTGTGTGTGTTATTGATCCACATCTATATGGATATAATATAGTCGTATACAATGAAAATAATAAATAAATACTTTATTTATTATCAAAAAAAAAAAAAAAAAAAAATGTTCATCATCGATAATCATGTGCCTATGGCCATGATTATGGATGTATTCTGTTGTTGGTGGTGTTGGTGGCGGCGGTGGTGGCAGTGGTGGTTCAATATAAATAAAAAAAAAAAATACATTTGACATATGTCACATTACACACAAAATTATAGATAATTGAAACGTGCTATGTATATACACTGCCTGTGTATTAATGATGATGACCACCATGTGTAGAATATTATTTTTCTTTCTGTATTTAGTATTGAGAAAAAAAATTGAAATTGAAATTGAAATTGAAATTTGATATTCGATATATTGTATTATATAGATATAGAGAAATGAAATGAAATGAAATTTATTTGAATGTAAAATGTAAAAAAAAACACTGCTGCTACTGTCGTTGTCGTCGTCATTGTCGTTTTTGTTAAAGCATCGACATCCATTATCAACAACAACCAAAAAAAAAAAAAAAAATTGGTAAATGTTTTTTTCATTACTCTACTTCTTTCTCTCTATTATTACATAAATAATTAATGAAAAATTTTTCATTTTCATTTCTCTCGTTACACACTCACTAACACAAACATAAAAAATCCAATGATGACAATTAATTATGATTATTATTATTATTATTGTGGTAGAGATTTTTACCAGCCTCACCCACACAACCAACACCCACACCATCACCACTACAGCAGGAATTATTCTGCAAAAATTGAATTTTGAATCAACAAATAAATAAATAAACAAACAAACAAACGACGATGACGACGACAACTAAAGACATTGTTTTTCTGGCCTCATTAAAAAAAAAAATCAAAATGAAACCAAAATGACGACAAAAATACACTGGTTTACATACATAAATCATTTTATATATCTGAATCTACAGCAAAAAAAAAAAATTGAATTAAAAAAAGAATAAATTGAACCAAGAATCAAGAAACATACGAATATAAGAATCCAAATGAAAGTAAAGTTCAAAAGAAAACGACAACAACAATAATAAAAAACCTATATATACGACATACACATGAATATTCTACAAATTAAACAATTTTTTTTTTTCTTCTGTAATGAGAAAATTGAATTGAATTGAATTTGAATTTGGTTGGCTTAAATCCTCATTTTTTTCCATTTAATTTATTCAAATCCATTTTTCTATGTGGTTTATATTGCCATCGAATTCAGCATCTTTTTTTTTTTTTTTAATTTTCTAAACGAGCAATAATGACAATGAAAATTTTGCAATTTTTTTCTCTCTCTCTCTCTCATTTATAAGATTTTCATCATAATCTTGTTTCATTTGTGCAACCAAAATGACGCTGGTTTTAGATTTTTTGAAGCCCATTTAGAATTGAAATTAAATTTATTTGGCTGACACAAATTCACATTTGTCAATGTTCAAAAAAAAAAAAAAGAAAACCACATCATGACAATTTATCATTTGGATTTTTTTTTGTCGAGGAGATTATTTGTGTATTTGTGTGTGAGAGAAGAGAATCGGAAATCAAAATAAAGAAAATCCTCAATGACAAACGAAATATAAACAAAATGACATGATAATGACCAAATTAAACTGACAATTTTTTTTTCTATTCAATCAGAATAATATCCGGTTGATGGTGACGTTGAACAACAACAAACCATCAACATCAACATTAATGGAATCGAAAACGAAAGCAAAAGAAAATTTCCATCCAATTTTCAGCAACAAACCAACAATAATAAAGAGAATAATTTGATTAATTTACCGGCTGCTTTATCATTCTTATCATCATCATTGATAGAAAGTTGTTGTTGTTGTTATCGATGATTTACAGAATCTATAGAACCAAAATAAATGATGGTGATGTAAACTTTTTTTTCCAATCAACCATCATCATCATCATCATCATCATTTCACATCACATCACATAAAATCAGATCTAATCATCATCATCTTCATTTATTGATTATATTTAGTGTTGATGACTAAAAATAGATGAAAATTCTTCCAAATATAAGAATATATTTGCTGTTGATCAAATTCAATCAGATTTTTTTTCTCTCTCTCTCTCATATTATTTTTTTTCCCATTTGTTTGTCTGTTTATTGATTCCATTTTGTCACATATAAAATAATCACAACTAAACATTGCAGAATATTCGGTTTCAACAACAACAACAACAACAACAACAAAACAGCAGCAACAGAATATTGTTCAGAATCAAGTGTATAACTGGAAACACTTGGAATTATATTATATTAAATGAATATATGCAGAAAAAAATTGAAAGAAAAGAAGCCAAACAAATTGGACAATTTTTTTTTCATCATATTTTGTTCATCGATTCATAGAGCTGCTAATGCTGTTCATTCATTTTGTTTTCATTTGTTCACTATGATGTGTTGTTTGTTATGTGAAACGGAAAACAAACACTGAAGAACATTTGGCAGAAAAAGAGAGATAGAGACAGAGAGAGAGAGAGAAGAATGGAAAAAAAACAATAAATGATTGTCTCTACGTATAGTTATCATCATTATTATTATTATCATCATCATCATCATCATCTTTATTCGTTTTCTTGGAACAATTGAACCCTAAATAAAATGTGAACTAAATTGATTTTTCAGTGGCCAAACTGAATCGAACAGCAGCCAAAGTAATGATTATTGAAAAGCAAGACAAAAAGGGACAGAGAGAAAACGACTTTTTTTTCCTCCATTGGAATTATCAAACATGTGTGCATTGATATATAAATCTCGCTTGAAATATATATATATATATATTGATCCAAGAAAAAAGACAACAACAACAAAAAAATGTGATTTACATGACCATGATGATCAACTTTCAATAATGATAAATTGATGATATCCATCTTAACAATCTATATAAGTCATGATTTTATATATGATCATGATTCTCATATTTATAGTTTTTTTTTTTCATCATCGTCATTGTTTTTTTTTCTCGCCATAATATCGCCATGTTTGTCATAATAATAATAATAAAAAGTGAATGAAGAAAAAGATAAGAAATACTTGAATAGCAGAAAATTAATGCATGAACTATGATGATGATTATGATGATGATGATAATAAAAATGTAATCAGTTGACCATTATTATTATTATTATTATTATTATTATTATCATTTTACCAAGTACAGTGGCCACTCTACTTATTTATTTACTATGCTTATAAGAATAATTGAGTTCCAGAAAAAAAAATGTAACGTAGCTAGAATTTCTAACTAATCAATGCACAGTGGATGTTTTCATTCAATGTGTCCATTTGAAATTCTGAAATTTCAACCAAAAATGTATAATTTTCTCGCACTCTCTCTTGTTTCTTTTGTTCTTTTCTTTTTTTTTTATCATCATTATCATCATGCCAACATTTACATTGTAATTTAGATGTTTGTCATCATATCATAAATAAATGTAATCAATAATAATGATGAAGAAGAAATTTTTTTTTTCGTTTCTGTTTCAATAAATAACAAAATTCTCAACAAAAAGGGATTGCTAGAGGATATATGTAATGATACATTTGGCAAAATTAATCAATCAATCAATCAATCGTTAGAATTATTGATCATCATATAATAATAATGAATATTAATCAAATGATGATATATGATATGATGAAATATGATGTAATTTATTATTATTACTGTAATAAATTATTGATTTCTTGGAAAACACAAACATAGAGAGAGAAATAGACATATAGAAATTGAAAACCACAGCTATGGATAAGGTGTCAATGATGGATAATCATCATCATCATCATCATCATCTTCATGAACAAAATAGGAAAAAAAACTAAATTTGTATTTTGTGTGTGTGTGTTATGATGATGATGATGATATGGTCATATTGAATAAATATTTGAGGAAATCAGACAAAAATGGACCAGAAAAAAAACCAACTGGATTGACGAATAACGAACCACAACAGGAAATTGTCTTGTGCAAATATACAACATTTTAGCATCACCAACAGCACCAGTATCAATGGCTAATCAACAATCTGATCATCTACCGCTGTATATGAAACATGCACGCAATTAGATTTTTTTTTTTTTTTTGGTTCTACTAAACAGAAGAAAGAAAAAACATGACCAGAATTTTGTTGAAGAAAGGAAAAATGATCTGATGAGACCGATATTTTTTATTTATTTATTTATTTTGGTTCTGTTTTTGACAATTGTTTGTCTGTATTTTTTTGTGAATAAAAAAAAATTCTTTTTTTTGCCATATCATCGATATTTTTTTTTGTTGATTCAATTTTTCGTGAAAATAAAAAAAAATTCATTCAATTTACTTGAATAATAAAATGTGAAACAATCTCGCCATCTATTGGACAAGAAGAATCAACATTTATTTTTGTGATACAAAAATAGATGGCAATGTATTCGGTTTTGGTTTTGGTTTTTGATTTTGGATTTTGATTTTTTTTCCCCTATAGATAACGTATTTCACCCATGAATAAATGTTGTCCAGTTGGTTTATGATGGATAAAAAACAAGAATGGATGATCGAATCGAAATTCGGGTACTGGTTCTTCCGATATACCAGAAGATGTTACCATAATAAAACCAAATGCAGCTGCAGCAACCGTACCTTCTTCATCGATCTTAATTTTGGCTTTATGTAGCATTTTTCCAATTGCAAATTGTTCATTGATAGTAATGCCAGTAAAATTTGCTTTACCCACTTCGAAAATATCTTCAATACCCATTGTTTGGATTTCTTTTTGTAATGAATCATATGTTGTGTCGAATTCCATTTTAGGTAAATGAACCACACAATATCCACCACCTTTTTTGTGGATTTTTTCCTGGATTTCTGTCATATTTAATGCTTTATGTAATTTCGCTAAATCAGCATCACGTTTACGTGGTAATATTCCAACAAATATTACTTTATAGCCTTTATATTCTAATAGAATCATATCGGCATCTAAATTATCAAGTGCATGATGACTGAGATATTCTTCTTTTCGCATAAATTGTACACGTCGTTGACGATCATTTTGGCCATAAAAAATATCTTCATGTGTTTGACTTTTTTCGAATGGTGATTCCCAGTTTCCTTTGAAATAAATAGCATTGAACAAACTGAATCGATCTGCCGGCCCGAGTGGCATGGTCAAAAATTGATCAATCATACCGTGTGTTCGATTTGAAATGAATTTATTAATCTTATTCATAGCTTCAACACCATTTTCGGCAAGATTTTCACGAATAATTTCACCATTAAAATGATTCTGTATAGCCATAAAATATTCGGGAATGATTTCAAAATTTTCAGCCATCAACATTAAATTACCAATTTCAATCGCCATATCATTGTTTATTATTTGACTTAATCGTTGATTCATCTGTTCAATAGTATCGATAACCTGGCAAGAATTTCGACGAATATCAATACATTCATCATAACCAATAATTTGTTGTAATTGTTGTTGTGAATTGCCACCACTGCCAGCATAAACCATGGCTAATGCCATCGCAATACTATATGGTGACAGAAATATTTGTCCTTGATCTTCACGATTTTTGGCTATTTCGTCCAATAGATTTAAACCAAAACGATTAGTTTGTTTGGATAAAATATTCACCACATCATCATCAGACAATATTGAGATTGGAAACCAAACGACACAGAACAAACAAATTGTTTTCAAATTGATTTTCATCTTCGACTTTTTTGATCGTATATTTGATCAATGAGAATAACAAACGATTTAATCGATTCAAAGTCAATATGTGCGTGTGTGTGTGTACAAAATGGCATTTTATATATACGAATATTCTAGCTATTTTCAATGGAAGAAAATGGAAGAAAAAAAAATTCTTAGAAAAATGCATGATTGAGAGAAAAAAAGGAAATTTTTTTCTTCATTAAATGAATAATTCTGATCATTTGATGCTGATAAATGAATTTGACCCTGAATTGATTATTTTTTCATTTTCATCATCATCATCATCATGAATAATTATGATGCAAAAAAGAAAACAAATTTTTTTCAGTGTGTTTTTAAAAGTCAAAAAATCAAAATCAAAAAAAAAATCCTATAAATCAATTTGATTTATCGCTAATAGATAAAGACAAAAAATATGATGGTTGCTATGGATCGATTTATGAAATTTTTGGAAATCAATATTGATGAAACTTTTTCTCATTTTGTATACATCTACTGTTGCTAATAGGAACTAATACAGTGGTCATTCGATTAGAATTTGTGTAAAATTTTTTTTTTCAATTTTAAATTGCTATACTATATATAAACAAAATATATATCTACAGTGATAATTTGATTACAATTTTCAGCCAGAAATTTGCCATCAGATGGCAACATTAATAAATAACAATAGATTTTTTGAAGAATAAAAAAAATTTTTTTTTCCAAATAGACAATCAGTCTGAAACATCATGAAAATGATGATGATGATGATCATCATCATCATCATCATCATCAAGACCATCAGCACCGTCGTGTCATCGTCACATCATTATATCAAAAAACGACGACGACGACGAAGACAAAGTTCATGATGATGATGATGATGATGATGATGAACACAACCATCAAATGTGAACAAATATAATGTAAATGTAAATTCGATTAGAAATAAAAACAACAACAACAACAAAACATTTTGATGGTGATCATAATGTGACATAAATATTTTGACACTCAATCCATTCTGTGTATATCATCATCATTATCATGTCCAACGCCTTATTTTGATGGCTGCTAAATGGTCAATCATCATCATTATCATTATTATTAGAATGGCCCGCTTTTTTTACGGTCGATGATGATGGGGAAACGATTCAGAATTCTTTTTTTTTTTTTGAATGACAAATGGATTGGATTTTTTTTTCGTTCTTAAATTCGATTCTAAAAATGGAAATTTAGACCAGAGATATTTTTGTTATTGGCATTGCTTGCAACGAACCAGATTTCTCTTGTTTTTGGTTATTAGACTCTTGACTTTTCATCGTTGATTGACCAAAAAAAAAATGATTGCAAATTCGTGAGTTTTTCTTTTTTTTCCATCGTGTTTGCAAATTTGTTCACTCTCTTTCCAAATCACGAACAAAGATGTCATCAAGTTTTGAACATATGAAAAAAAATTGATGAACCAGAAAATTGATGGATTGAATTGAAAAAAAACGAACATCTTCAAATTATTATGCTCAGATCAATAAAATGGTAAACAAACAAACAAATATACCAATATATTGATGGTCACGGTAATCGGGTTTTTTTCCCACTACACAACAACAAAACCAAACTAAACAATTTTCAATACGAAAAATAAATAAATAAATAAATATCTGATCAATGTCCGAAGATAATCAATCATTGAGAATTAATGATAATGCCTCTTGTCGTTGTTTTTGTCACCAACATCATCATCATCATCATCATTATCAACAACAACAACAATTTTCCTGTGTGTGTGTGTGAGATGTGTGAAAATATTTATTATCATTATTGTGTCACATCAAACAAAACAAAACAAAACAAAAAAAAACGCGTGAACAGTCACAAGAAAAAAAAAATTTTTTTTTTTTTGAATAAACAAACAAACGAAAATCTAGAACAAAGAAAAGAAATGAACATTTACTTTTTTTTCCATCATTCTAGATGGATAGAAAGATAAATATAGAGATAGCGAGCTAGTGATGATTTTATAATGCACCAGGATCATCATCATCATCATCATCATCGCCATTATTATGGATCATCAGAAAAAAGGCGATTTTACAATTCAATTGTAAAATCGCCTTGTGATACGATTTTTTTTTTTTTTTGAATATCAATGTAGATTATCCATCAGAAGAGAATGATTTTTTTTTTCGTTGTTGTTGTTGTTGTTGTTGTTGAAAAAGGTGTAAATTTTTTTTTCTGATGAATCGGGTGTAAAAAAATTTTTTTCCTAATGATGATAATGATGATGATGATGATGATGATGGAAACCCAGTAAATCCAAATGATGATGAATAGATGGACAGAAAGCAAGAGAGCAAGAGAGAGAGAGAGAGAGAGAGAAAAATTCGGCCAAGATGTCGCAAACAAACAAACATCAATTTCTTTGTCATTTGGATACTTTCTTTCTTTCATCTGTTGGTTGTGATGATGATGATGATGATAATGATGTCAATGTGCGATTTATGGATCTCTATATGTACTATAACCACCATCATCATCATCATCATCATGATGGATCGGATGGTGAATATCTTTATTTGATGAAGAAAAAAAAAATTTCCGAAAATTTTTGAATTTTCTGAATTCTGAATGAAAAGTTTGAGAGAAATTTTCCACCGGTTGAATTAAGAAAAATGACACACAAAGTGAATGTGTTTGTGTGTTTGTGTCTGATGATGAATTATATGGAAATTTTAATGGTCTGAATTATCATGAATTTTTTTTTCATCATTTTTTTTCAGCTTAAAAAAAAATTTAAATTTCATTTTTCTACAATCAAATTGAAGAAAAAAAAACAATAAAATTCCCAATGAATGATGATTGAATTGTTTGAAAAGCTCAAATTTCATTCGCTATATAGACAAAAAAAAAAAATTTTTGCCCATTGTGTTAATGGTTTCGGGAATGAATAATGAATTTTCGGCCATGTATAATGATAATAACATTCATATAATTCAATTTTCAATCTGTCATCAATTCGATGATTTTTTTATTGCAAAATTTCAATCAACCACACAAAAAATCAACGAAAAATAAAAATTTAATAGCTCATCAAACACGATGAATGTCAAGTGAATTGGCAAAACAAAAAAAAATTTTCGTCATTTACATGAAATAAGAATTTATTTTTACAAAAAAAAAAAAAAAAAATGATCACGAAATAAATCGATCATTTGCCATCATCATTTGGAAATATATGTACAAGTTATAAAGTCATTGTCGTCGTCATGATGATATAGTGATTGATGGCAAAATGTTTATCTTTTCGTTTATTTTTGGTCAGCCAGTAAAATCCAAAAAAAAAAAAAAATCGAAAAAGAATTTTGTATTTTGAGTGAAGAAGTGGACAAATGTTTTGAATGGAAAAAAAATATATTCTTTTTTGCTACATTTCTCGCTTTACTGATGTCATTAGCTATGGTCATTTTTATGGTCACATAGGGTCATTCAACGATAAATGATGACGATGGTGATGGTGATGGTGATGGTGATGATGATGATCAAATTCAGATTAGATTTCCAGTTTGAATAACTTATCAGATCTTATCATCATCATTCACCAAATGATGATGATGATTAAGATGCCAAAAAAATAAAATAAAATAAAATGAAAAGTAAAATTGTAAAAAAAAAAAAAAAGAAATTTTGTCAACACTTTTATTTTTCATCAATAATTTCATCTACTACTAATGACAAATAAAATAAAATAAAAATTGGTTCATGGGTCAATAACACACACACACAAACACAATATTGAAAACAATTGATTTCTCCAACTTTATTTTATTTGATAAATTCAAAAATAACCATCATTTCATCACCATTATTATTATTTTGGTAGGAAAAAAAAATTCCACCACAATAACAAAAAAAAATAAGGTGCAATGATCGATAATCGATAATAATTGTAATAAAACGGGAAAAAAAATCAATCAGATAATTTGTAATAAGTAATAGGATCGATAACAACAACAACAACAACAACAACGGAAAAAGTCTCTCCGGGTTGGTCACGCAATTTTGATGATTTTTATAACAACAACAACAAAAATGCATAAATTAATATAATCAGAAAAATGGTTGGTCAGTCAGTAAGTGTGTGTGACCAATCAAGATGAAAGTAAAAATTTTTTTTTTAATTTAAAAAAAAAAATTTCTTGTTGAAACGACGACAATGACAACGAAGTTTCATAATTGTCATTCGTTGTTGTTGTTGTTCGTTGTGGATGATGGACACTTTAATTGATGGATGTAAGACATCTACATGAACATCTATGAATTAAAATCATTCAATCAAATTTTCACAACAACAACAAAATGAAAATAAAAAATAAAAATAAAAATAGAAGAAAAAAAACACATTATCACATTGTTCACAGACACCAGATTCATTCACCCAACCTATATATCAAAAGTATCCAAAGGATACGGTCTTTTTTTGTTTTCATAATTTTTTTTTTTACTGATTGATTGATTGATTTGTTGATTATTATTACAAATGAAAATGGAAAGGAAATTCAGCTTTGTGGTTTCCATACACACACACAGAGACATTCATCTTAGACACAATTCGATACTCTCGATCATTGTCAGCCAGTCAGTCAGTCAGCCAGCCAGCAGAAGCTCAATATATAATTATAAATTTTGTAAAGCAAAAAAAAGAAAAAAAAACGATGCGTCCGGTTTTTTTTTTAATTCAATTCACAAATTTTTCATTCATTCATTCATTCATTATCTTATTCAATCCATACATGGACAATACAACATTTGATTCGAATTTATTTTTTTTTGCAATTCTTAAATTTCAATCGTATTACAATCATGTTTCAAATGAAAAAAAATCCATCCATTCAAAGTAACAAAAAATTCAAAGGTCAACAGGTGGCGCCGTCATCGTCATGATCATCATTTAATGGAAAAAAAAATGAAAATCCTACACACACACACACAGACAATTGTGATGATGACAATAATAATAATGGCCATATATACTAAATATATATCTAGATCAAATAAAGAAAAAATTTTTTTTTTGTTTAAAAACTTTCGCAAAAAAAAGATAGTTTTAGGGATCATTATCATCATCATCATGATGCACAGTTTTTGCTCGCAAAAAAAATGATAAAGAAACGGATAAATAATCGGATCTAAAAATATTTGATCTGGTTTGAAACAAAAGCCGAAAATATATTCAACACACACACACACATTTTAAAGGCGTTGATCATCATCAAATGATGACAATGACCATTTAGCAGTTTCTAAAAAAATAATGTAATGTAATGTAATCAAGAGAAATTGTCAAAAAATTTTTGGATTTTTTTCAAAATTCACAAATCAATCAATCAATATGAAAAATAAAATTATTCATACATACATTGCATATGATTGAATTGAATGAATCTTGTGAGAAAAAACGATAATTTCAACGATGATGATCAGTAGTGACAATTTATGATGATACATATGTTGATTTTGATCTATTTTTTTTTTTTTACTCTTGATGATTGATCTTTATATCGGTATATATTTTGTCATCATTATCGAATCATCATATACGATGTGATGTGATATAACACACAACAACAACAACAACAACGAGGCCAACAACAACAACAATGCCATTTTATTTGGTTTGTTTTTTTTTCATAACAAGTTTTCAGGTATATATTCAATCTATGATGATGATGATGATGATGATCGATTCGATCCATCACGTTGTATACATATGTATGTATGACAGTTAAAATGTATCCAGAAGAAGAAGAAGAAGAAGAAAAAAAAACAATAATTTCTACACCATATGTACATGAACACAAAATCAAAAAATCAAAAAAAAAAAAAAAAAAAAATCAAATCAAATCAAAATCACCATTATATATAATCATAATCATGGTGTGTGTGTGTGTATGGTGAAGCAAAATAAGAAAAAAAAAAAATAGGCCACATAAAGAAAAGAAAAGAAGATTCAAAACATTTCTGTTGTAACAACCAAATGATGGTGGTTGTGGTGATTTTTTTTTTTTTTTTTGAAAAAAACCCAATATTGATGATGATGATGAAGTAAATTATTATTGTTGTTGTTGTTGTTGTTGTTGTTGTTGTTGTACATTATGGAATCGATCATCATCTTCATCTTCAGCTTTTCTTCTTTTTTTTTTGAAAAATGATGCTTTTTGTTTGACCCATCACACACGCACACGCACACACACACACACACACACTTTTTTTCCATTATTTATTGCCAACAAACTTCAGTGTTTTGTAATAGCAAGTAAGTGACTGAATGAGTGAGTGAGTGAGTGAGTAATTGAGTTGAGTTGATTTGATTTTTGTTTTGATTGATTGATTAGTGTGTGTGTGTGTTTGAATCATTTTTTGCTAATATTTTTTGGTTATTGGAAATTGAACATTATTTAAACATTAATCAATCAATCGATCGTTCGATTTTTTTTTCATTATTTATTTTGGCGCCAAATTTCATTTACATTTAATTAGTAGTAGTAGAGAGAGAGAGAGAATTTGGTCGTTTTCTTGGTTTATTTGAATCCAAAATGTTTGTTTATCTTTGATTTTTGAAAAATTTGGAAAGAGAATCGTTTTCTTTGTAAATACAAAAAATAAGAGAGAAACGCACAAACATCAATAGATGGATAATAAAGAGAGAGAGAGAGAAAGAAGCTTAAATATTTCGGGATTTTTTTTTCATTTTTCCACTTTTCGGTTATTGTATATCTATCTATCTTCTGGTTACTGTTGTCGTTGTAGTCGTCGATGAAAGAGATACTTTATTTATAAAATGGTTATCAATGTAAAAAATTTGATCATTTCATTTGTGTCAATCAATTTGGTTTAATCGGATATTTTTCTTTTCGTTCATCTTTTTCTGTTTTGTTGTTGTTGTTGTTGTTGTTGTATTTACAATCGAAATTAAAAAATGAAAATTCCGAAGAAAAAATGATCATCATCATCGTCATGTTTTAGAATACTGAATTATTCTGATTTCTGGCCAAAAGAAAAAAAAACGGTCATTTTCTGCTACTAAAATAAATTGAACACGAAAATAGAGATAGAAATATATATTATATATATATACAGTTTAAGTGTTTTGTGTTTTCTGATACTTTCAAACAAAATGGCGGCCAAAAATTATTTAAAATTTTTATTATTTTCCACTTTATTGTGTTTTACACAACAACAACATCAACAACAACAAAATCAATTAAAAATTGATCCATTTATCAAACGTATTCTAACAACAACAGCAAATGGTGATAATAGTGGTGGTTCACGTTTTGATCTAATGATTGAACCACATGTATCGAATGTTGAAATGTTACATTCACCATCACCATCACTATCATCATCACAACAACAACAACAGCAGCAGCAGCAGCAAAGAATCAAGTGATAATTTAGATGAACAAAATTCAACAATGACAAATAATAATGTATTTCAACCGTTATCATCATCATCATCATCATCATGGTCACAGAATTTCAATGATAATCAAATCAACACAAATTCATCACTAATAACAGCAAATATATCGGCAACACCAATATCAACTGATTCATTTAGCCATTGGAATCCATCACCAATAATCAATACAAAGCCATTAACATTTACACGTTATGCATTATTTGATTCATTTTATGATCAACCATCGTCATCAACAAATAACCATTCACTAATTAGACGTAGAAGAATATGGTCAGATACAACATTAGAATCTGATGAATCGGACAATGATTTACAGATGATGAAAATTCTACCATCACCACCATCACCATCATCATCATCATCATCAATATCATTAGCAACACCGCCAACAAATAATCATTTTAGTTTGATGATAAAATCACCACAATCATCATTATCAACATCAACAACAAGTTATCCAAAAGAAACAATATTTGATGATGATGATCATGAAAATGATGATGATGATTCACGTGATGATATGAATCTTGATTATGATATTGATGATATGACACGTGTTACAAATGAAGATAACAGTGGTCCAAATAATAGTGATGAAATTAATGAAAATGATGATAGTAATGGTGAAGATGGTCAACAACAACAACAACAACGACAACAAAAACATCATCATCGTCCATCATCTATACGTATTATGGCAACAAGAAATGGATCATTATTTGGTATGGTGAATGCAGCAAATGATGAAAATTCAATAAATAATGGTGATGGTGATCTGCTGAATTCATCTGGATCAACATCAAATCAAAATTTCATAATTCCGGATCAAATTATGCCATATTTGAATGCATATTCAACACATTTGAATTCAGAAATTGGTAAATCATCATCACCATCTATGGCCAATGTTAAACCAATTAATGGTAATAATGACGATGTTTTCATTGTTCATCATCAACATCATTATCCACCAATGTTTATGAATAGTGAATCGGTCACTGGTAGTTCATCAATGACATCCGGATCAATGATACAGCCAAATCATCATCACGCAAATGTTCTATCACCGGCAACACAAACACCATTTAGACCGATGAAAAATCGACATAAAGTAAATAGGAAAAAAATCGAAAAAATTACAAATCGTTTATATCAAGGTAAATTCATTGAAAATTGTTTTTTTACATTTTCAAATCAAATGATCATTGTTTGTATTTTTTTTTCAATCTACAAGAGAGATGATTGAAAATTCTGATTCAAATGAATCAAATCAAAGTCATCATTATAAATAGAGATTTATATTTTTGAGAAATTCAAATTTCAATTCTGAACGTACATGAAAAATGAAATGATCATTTGCTTTGATTTTTTGTTTCATTTAAGAAAATTAAAATTGATGATTTATTTCGAATTTCAAAAATTCTTTTTTTCTTTTTTTCATTATAGGTACCATTATTGAATCTAATGGATGGCTCAACAACAACAACAACGACAACAACAAAATCCGATGCTGCATCATCAACAAAACATTCATCAATGGAAATTGATGATATCGATGATGGTAATAATAATAATAATAATAGTGGTAGTCAAGAAGATTTAAATGAAATGGCAATATTAACATCGATGAAAAATATGGCAAAAACGACAACCACAACGACGACAACAACAACAACACCTAGACCAGAATCATTAAATAAAAGAGAACATTCAACATCATTATCGTCGATTCAAAAAACAATTATCGATGAAGAGCCAATAGATATCGATTTGAATCAACAAACACGTAATGAAAATGGTGGTGGTGGTGGTGGTAATAATAAACAACAGCCACCAACATCAGCAAATCTAATGGATTTAAATGATCGTTTCTATTATTTTATGATGAATAAAATGAAAAATTTTACAACATCAAATAATAATAATGGCGGTGCTGGTGATGAAACAATAATGATGAATACTACTGTTGCTGTTGATGATGAAAATGATAATTATTTGATGATAAAATCCAAATCAAAACCAACAACAACAACAACAACAGTTGAACAACAACATTATCAATCGGAAGCAATACCAGTATCGAAACATCATTATGAAATTTATCATAATAATAATAATAATGAGAAAGATTCATTATTGCTAAATGAACGTGATAATATAAATACAAATTCCATTTATATGGATACAGGATTCGGTGATAAAGATGCAAATGCATCGACAACATATCAATCATCATTAGAGCCATTACTTTATCATTATACACCTGGTAGTAATAATTCATGGCCACCGGAAAAAAGTCTTGGCATATTGCCAATACTTATACAGATTGAAGATAAAAAATCGGATAATGAAATAATTGATGGTACTAGTAATAACAATAATAATAATAATAATGGCCAACAACAACAAAATTCTGTTGATTATCGAAATAATAATAATATGATGATGATGACGATGCAAGAAAGACTTTATGGACAGCCAATGAATATTATTAATAATCAAAATAATGATTGGTCACAACGAGAAAATGGTAATGGTGTTGGTGCTGTAAATCATAATAATCAATGGCCAGTTATTAATAATAAACAACAACAACAGCCACCACAACATCCAGCACGTAATGTTATTTTTCATAATAATAAACCAACATCATTAGCTATTAATCCAAGTGCATCAAATTTATATCCGGATTATCATCATCATCATCATTATAATAATAATAATAATCCAAATTTGCATACAAACAATAATCGTTTACGTTTTAGTCCATTTGGTCCATCATCATATATAGATGATGAACAGAATTTAATGAACATGATCGGCAATAATGGTGTTCATCCGATAGCTACAACAACAGCTGCCAATAATAAATTCTTGAATCCAATATATCCAAGTGCATCGGATGCACATTTAAATTATTATGGTCCAATCATACAAGCAACAAGAGCGCCACCACTTCTTCCTCCTACAGCAGCAGCAGCAGCAGCAACAACAACAACAATACCGCTTACACCATCACCATCAATAATAAATGTAAATCATTTATTAGGTGCCACAAATACGAATCCAAATACAAATTTCAATTATCGTTTATTAGAATATTGGCTATTACGTAACCAATTGTCAAAAACACCATCATCGATAAATGCAAATATAAATCATATGAATCGTATGAAAATTAATCAAGATCTTTTAGCGGCTATGCAAACAAAATTATTTGCACCAAAAACAACAACATCATCGGCGGCCACAACAACATTACCAATTGAATTGGAACAAATTTATTTTTCACAAAACAATTATCCTGGCTATACATATGGTGATTTTATGAAAATGCCCGATAAATATAAGGATGCTATTTTACGATCCAAATTATTGGCACCTTTAACAGCAACAGCAACAACAACATCATCGATGATAAATCCATTGGATGTATCGACAAAAGATTTAGCAACATTGGCTTCATTCATTTGGCAGCAGCAGCACCAACAACAACAACAACAACAAACGACAACCGGTAACAATAAAGAATCAAACAAAAATAATAAAAATGGCAACAACAATAATTTAAATAATAAAAAACGTACACGATCATCATTGAAAACGGCATTGGCTAAACAATTTTCATTGAGTGGATTAACATCTAGCAATGATGGTGGCAGTGGAACAATAATAAATACTGGTAATAATAATGATAAAAGAATGATTAAAGATGATTCTTCATCAACAATAACAACTGATAATAATAATAATAACGGTAATGGTAGTTTAATGGATAAACGTAAAAAATCACGAAGAAATTTAACAAAATTTGGTCTATTTGGTTGAGATAGATATAGAAAATGAATTTTCATCAGCCAAAAAAATCTCTCATTCATCATCATCATCATCATCAATTATTACGTGTAATAATTTGTATTTTGTTTCTCTCACTCTATCTCAATACTTCAAAACACACACAAAAAAAACAACAACCAAATCAATTTTACAGCAAAACAGAAAACAAACAAACAAAAAACAACAAAAAAAAACCAAAATAAAAACATATTTCACACGAAAAAAAAACTTGAATAATTTATTTTGAAAATCAGCAAATCAAAAGCCACGCACACGCACACACCCATTAGGCACTAATAAGTTTTCTTTCTTTTTTTTTTTTCAATTATCTCATTTCACTTTCATTCGTTCATTCATTCATTCATTCATTGATATCAGAAAAAAATTAGCAAATTTTCATTTTACTTGCGTTTTTGTTTCTATTTTTAAAACAACAAATTGAATGGAAATTTCTCTTCTTCTTCTTTTTTTAATTAATTAAAAATCGTTTTTTTTCGGCGACGTTTTTTTTTTAAAAAAAAATTTGATGAATAATAATAATCTGTTCGTGTGTGTGTCCAAATGTGATTATTTAAAATTGATTGATCGATTGATTAGGAATTACTTGAATTTGCGTGTGTGTGTGTGTGTGTATGTATTGGTTGGTGGGTGGTTGATTGGTTGGCGGTTAAGAGAATACAATAATTAAGATATAAATATAATTTGTTCATATATTGAATAATCAATCAATTAATTAATTAATTAATTGATTGATTGATTGATTGAATGGATAATTTTGATTGTTTTTTGAATCGATCATGGTCCAAATATCATTGATTGGATTTTTATTCAACAAAAACATCAGAAAATGCTAATGCCGTAACAGCTTTTTGATGGCCACTATATTCACGTGTCATTTGACCACTATAAACTGACCATAATCGTACATAATGATCGGATGATGCTAATAATTTAAATTAAATGTTAAAACAAAACAATGGAAAATGGAAAAAGTGAAAAATTCAATTCAATTTTCAATCTATTTTTACTACTTACCAGTGAAAACATATTGTGAATCGGCTGAGAATGCTAAATCCCAGACCCATTTTTGATTTGGCCGTTTCAACGTTTGAAATGGTGTTATCTGTTCGGTTAATGACCATTCATTTTTTTGTTTTTTCTTTACTCTACGTTCACTATTACCACCACCATTATTATTATCATCAGATTCACCGCCACCATTTTCATAATGGTCATTATCATCAATAAAATTATTATTATTGTTGTGATTTGAAAGATTCGGTAAACCATTTGTCAATTTTTCTTTTTTAAAACAATCACATGAACAACAACAATCAGAATTTTGTTGCTGATTTATCTGATTATTATTATTATGATTACGATGTTTACTATTACTACGACTACTTGAATTACTAAGGCTATTTGTTGCTGATATACTTCTTTTCGTCGTCATTTGTTTTCCAATATAATTTTTTTTATTATTTTCAATTTTTGGCGGTTTCACAATATCACCACTACCATCATCATCATCATCATCATCATCATCATCCTCATCGACTTCATCATCATCGTCATCATCATCTAAATCTTCATCATCATCTTCATCTTCATCGTCAGTTTTCATTTCAAATGAATAATGTCCTTCTGTTTGTTGATCATCATTAGCATCAGCATCATCATCTGATTCATCATCAACATCATCATCATCATCATCATCATGACCATTATCAGGATGACCATTATCATTACGATTAATTTCATCATCATATTCACAATCAAAATCACTATCGACTAGTTTTAATTCTTTAATTATATTCAAAAATTCTTCATCTTCTTGTCGTTCCAATGTGAATATATCAGTAATATTACCATTATTACCATTGCCAGTACCACCATTATGTATACTGATATCTTCCAATTTATTAAATAATTCATTATAATCATTGTCCAAATATTTTGTATAAACCGATTGATATAATTGATTACCACCACCAAATTGTGAATGATGAAAATTATGATGATGATGATGGTGGTGGTGGTGATGATTTTGATTATGATGATAATTGTTTTGTTGTTGATATCTATAATATTGTTTCAAATCATTCAATGATGATTGCATACTATCACCAAATATTCCATTTTTTGTTTTAATCATTGAATTATGATTATTCAATGATGTTCGTACTGGTGCTATTTAATAAAACAAAACAAATAAATTAGTAAATAGTAAATTAGTGATATGAGACATTACACTTACAATTCAATGGATCAGTACTGGATAATCTTCCGGATCCGGCCACAGAATTTTTCTCCTTACCATTTACAACATAAAAACTTGATTGTCGCGTTGTATTTATATTTCTTCGTAAAATATTATTTAATGATCGATCTCGATAAGCACAAAGTGCACATCCATTAGCACTTAATCGACCATTATTATTATTATTATTATTATGATTATTATTGTTGTTGTTGTTGTTGTTGTTGTTGTTTACATATTTACAACATGTATTTCGATTACTTGCATTACATGTATGATTATGACGACGACGTTTCAGATAACAACGTGGTGGTTTTTGTGGTTTAATCTTTTTCCATGGAAATAGTCGTGCAAGAAATGGTGCACCAAGCATTGCTACAGCAGCTGGATCAAATTCCGTACCAGCACCATCATCTGTATTATGCCATAGATCTTTATAGCGGATAAATTGTTCATATGTAACGGCATTTGTTTGTGATTTAGGTTTTTGATTTGCTTTCAATTCGGATGGATCATCAATTTGAATTGTATTGGTTGAATTTACAATAGATAAATCTGATGTACGCCAAAATTTTACTGTAGTATCAGCCGACGATGTGGCCAACAATGTTGAATCAGGTGAAAAACAACATTTTAGACCATATTTATCATGTGCTTGAAATATGAGTCTACGATGTAGATAGCCACTGGCAGTCATTTCACCATTTTTCTCTTCAAGCATTTCTGGTGGTAGAAAACTTGTATTACGAAATATATAACATTTACCTAATGTATCGATGGCGGCCAATAATCTACATTCTTTATCATATGCAATATGTTGTATAAAACCATCATTAGTAACAAATAACCGTTGTAATTGATCATTCTGTAGATTCCATATCCAAATTGAACCACTTTGATCAGCTATATAGATTTCAATTTCATTTGGATGTAAAAATAATGAATTTATTGGTGTTTTTAGGCCACAATGTCTTTGACATGTTAATCTTCGGGAACGTATATCCCAAATACGTGCATAAAAATCTTCACCACCTGTATACATGAATGTGGTGTTTGGACTGAATCCAATGCTTGAAACATTTCTTTTTATTACAGAACAAAAAAATATTCAATCAATTTGTTTCAATGAAAAAAAAAAATAAATAAATAACTTACTTGGAAATGCCTTCAAAATTAATCAAAGGTGTACTTGCATTGGATTGAACATCATAAAGACGGATATGTTGAAAACCAGCCGATGCTAATAGTTCACGTGTAGGCGTTATAGCCAATGCATTTACATGTGAATTATCCGGATTCTGTATTGATTTATCACAAAATCCTTTATCCACATTCCACATACGAATAGTATTATCATAACCACCGGATGCTAAAATTAATTGATTAGATGGCTGATAATTCTGTTGTGCTGCTGCCTGATGTTGTTGTATCATTTGTTGATACGTATGACGTGTATCGACTTTTTGCATGATTATTAATTATAATTTTTATTGATTATTGATTGAATTTATCAATAGAAATTTGAAACCATTTCCGTTCCACTGTGAAATTTAAGCCAAAAAAAAAAATTTTTCGAAATAAAATCTTAAAGAAAAAAAAAAAAATAATGGAAAAAAAATTTCGATTGTTTAATTCAAGAAAAACAAACTTGGAAAAAAAAGAGAGAAATAAAGAAACAAAACCAATGCGTTAGTTTCGTATATCATCGTCATCATCATCATTGTTATGGTTTTTTTTAATGTTTACTACCACTACTACAAAAGTATTTTTTATTTTTTTTTGTATTGGTCACAATTGAAACTTAACCCTCAATACTATTCGAATGAATCACATTATGACCATATAGCCAAATTAAAAAGCTTTGGTCACAATATTTTTTTATTTTTCAATATTTGAATTAGCCGTTCATAAAGTTTGTTACAATAATAGAAGCATTGTTTTATGCGTGACATGCAAAAAAAAAAATGAATGAATTTTGGGCTTTAGCCAAATAAATGAAAAAAAAACGACAACAACAACAACAATTTTCATGATCGTCATCATTTCGTCATTATTATACTCTTTCGCTATTTTTTTTAGCTGCTCATTTTTGTTTCTATTAATCATCATTGAACAACAGAAAAAAAATCATCAACTTCGATATATTAACATTCAATCATACACCGGGTGCGTGTGTTTGTCAGTGTCTTGTGTCTGTGTGTGAGAAAAAATTGAAAAATCATCATATACAAAAAAAAAAGATAAATTGAACCGGATCATATATTCCCAGAAAATTAGAGTTTCAACCCAATTTGTTTTTTCTTTGCCCGTAAGTAGTTTTTGTTCGTTTTCGTTACATGACATTCATTCAATTCGATTTGTTTTTCTCCACTCCAGTATCTTCAACAATCATATCATCGACGAGTGAAATAGTGTGTTGTGGTGGTACTATTGAACCTAAAACAAGACAAAACGAGACAAAAATTTCAAATATTTTGAAACCAAAGAATCCAAAATAATAATAATAATAATATTCATCAACCATGTCACTTCAATGGACATTGATTGCAACATTTCTTTACGTGGAAATTGCATTGATTGTTTTAATGTTATTGTCGATTATTAAACCACGATTGTAAGTGTTGATTTGGATGAAATTTTTTTTTCTTTATTTTTTTTAATTTTATTTCATTCACAATAATAGTTGGCGATCATTTTTTCAATCTCGTTTTATGACCGTAGTGGCGGCACAATCAAATCTTTATCTGGTTGCATTTATCGGTGTTTTACTCTTGTTTTTTGTTGGTAATTTTTTTTCTCGTGTTTTTTCAAATTGAATTACAAACAATTTTTTTTCGTCTATGATTTTCTTAGAATCGGTTCGAGAATTTCATAAATATTCAAGTAAATTGAATACAAATGATCGTATGTATGTTGGATCATCGGCATTTTATGAAGATCAGATGCGTGTATTTCGTGGTCAACGAAATTTTTACATTTCTGGTTTTGCCTTGCTCTGTGTATTCATTATAAAACGTTTAATACGATTGTTTGGTGAAATGGCACAATTGAAAGCCGAATCAGAAGCATCCATTCGTCAGGCACGTAATGCAGCCGAATTGGCAAGCCAAACATTATCGGCTTCAACGAAAACAACAACCACAACAAATAATGATCAACAACAGATTCCATTGGAAAAAGAAAATGCTGCATTAAAAGAAACGATTGATGAATTGGAAAAAAAATTGAAAAAAGCTCAAACCGATCTAAAAGCAATGGAAAGACAATCGGTCAATACAAATAAAGCGTTTGATGAAATGGCTGAAAAATTGGCACGTTATGAGGTAATGATAACCAATAATGGTGATGGTCAATTCTAAAATTTAATTTTTTTTCTTTCTCTTCATCCCCCCCTTCCAAAAAAAACATCACACAGGCATCGGCCGATTCACGTAAAGATAAATGAGATGAATCAAATGAATTTGAAAATTTTAATTTCCAATCTTGTAATTTGATTTGATTTTTGAAAAAAAAAATTTAAAACCAAGAATTAAAATTTCATTTCTCTCTTTTACACCCACACACACACACACACACACACACATTTGATATACTGTTGTAATTGTAATTTACGAATTTTTCAATAATTTCGGAAATAAAAATCAAAAAAAAAAATTGATCGACAAACAAACAAACGTTGCTGACTTTTTAATGCATCAAAAAAAAAAAAAAAAAAAAAAGTGACCAGATTGTCTTGTCGGTGTGTGTGTGTGTGTGTTTGTATCATGTCATCAACACACTGAGAAGAGAAAATGAACCATATGAGCCAACCCTAGCTAGCTAGATTAAAACTATAAACTACCAAAATAGTCAAATGTTTTATAGCAGAAAAAAAGGCGGATAAAATAGCAAGTTTTAGGTGCGGCAAATGTCACCCAAACGATAAAGTTGACATATACACACATACACACACACTTACTAGGGTTTCAGGGTGACACACACACACAGTCACAATATGTGTGTGCGTTTAGTGCCTTTTTTTCATTCAACAATTGAATTTATGATTTTCAATTTTGGATCGTTTTTTTTGTTTTGTTTTGTTTTTTTGTTGTTGTTATATTATAATATATATGGTATAATGGGAGTTAGTAGTCTGAATAAAATTCGGGACATTGTGTAAAAAAAAGGGAAATAAGTGAAGAAAAAAAAAGCCAAAAAGTAAAATCGTCAATCAGTCAATCAAACAGTCATCGATAAACACACCGCACACCGCACACACACACAGTGACAGAAACGATTGATTTTTTGATGATGATGATGATGACAATTGAATATTTCAATTTGTGGTGAATTCAACAAATTTTTTTATGTTATAAAATTTTTTTTTTTGTCATTGAATTTTCAAATTAAAATATGGATATCGATTCATGTTCAGATTCACGTTCAACATCACCAATTATTATTACCGGAAATAATGGCAACCATAATAATTCATCATCATCATCATTGATATTGGCTTCGCAACAACAAAATTCAACAACATCCGGTCGGATATTGTTGAATATACCATGTAAAGTTTGTCATGATTATTCATCCGGTAAACATTATGGTATATTCGCTTGTGATGGTTGTGCCGGTTTTTTCAAAGTAAATAAAAAAAAATTTTTTTCTTTTTCAATATGAAATGAAATGAAAAAAATTATTGAACATCATATTGATAATAAAATTTTTTCTCTTTATTTTTCATGACAACAAAGCGATCAATACGTCGTAATCGACAATACATATGTAAAGCACGTGGTTCATCCGCAAATCGATGTCTGGTGGATAAAACACATCGTAATCAATGTCGTGCATGTCGATTGAAAAAATGTCTACGTGAAGGTATGAATAAAGATGCTGTACAAGAAGAACGTGGTCCAAGAAATTCAACATTACGACGACAAGTTGCATTGAATATGTGTGCACAGTCATCAAGTTATGCTGCTGCGGCAGCATTAGCTGCTGCTGCTTATGCTGGCCACCATCATTCACATTCACATTCACATCCACATCATCATAATCATCCACTTTCATCACATACAACAACATTTCCATATTCACAATCATCGTCATCATCATCAACATCGACTGCTGCTACCGTTCCTGTTGCGCAAACATTTCCGTTTCCATCAACAATTTCATCAACACCATCAACTGGATCTGCATTTGGACCACCGCTACCACCACTACCACCGCCACCAACATCATCTTCTGCTCAAAATTTTCCACTAATTCCTTATGGTCATCATCCATCAACATTAATAAATCAACATCCAATGGCAAAAACAACAATATCCGGCACATTTGATCCATACATACGATTCAGAGCCACATCGATGAATAATCAAAATTTGACTACAAATCATCATAATAATAATCATGATAATGATGATTGTCAATCACAAAATTCAAAAAATAAATTGAATCAGAAAATTATTCCAAGATCTGATCAAGATGATGATGATGATGATGATGGAAATCATGGCGATTTAGATGAAAATGAAAGCAACGATGATGATAATGGTAATGATAATAAAAAATTGAAACAACAAAAAAATCAACGTAGTAGAAAATCAATGAAAAATTCAAATAATGTAAATAAACATGAGACAAACAATATTATTTTGGATCATCATCATGGATCATTATCATCATCGTCATCATCGTCATCGTCATCATGTTTATCATCAAGATCATCGTCATTATCACCATCATCGAAAAATACAGAAATCGATACAGTCACCAATAATAATAACAACAACAGTACAATGATCAATAATAATTATCATCATACACCGCTATCGATTAATTCTGATCATCATCAATATTATAATAGTATCACAAATTATTATCATCGTATTCTTTTCGATACATTAGCTGCAAATACAAATCTACGAATGGCTAAACAATCATCAACAACAGAAGAATTTTTATCATCATCATCATCATCCAATCATAATAATGGATCATCAATGATTTTACCACCACCACCACCACCACCACTGCCACCATCACAATCGTCGAATATTAATAATTTTGATCATTTCCTCTTCAATCTATATCAGAATCGTCATCATCATTCTTTATTTCATCAAAATCATTCACATCCATTTTCAATGATTAATAATACACAACCAACAACAGAAGCAGTACCAACAACAACAACAACAACTATGGCCGCTCAAAGATCAACAATTTTACAGAATAATAATTTCCTTTATCCACTGCCACCACCACCACTACCGCCACCACTTCCAACGCCACCACAATCATCATTACCATTAATAACATCAACAAATAATTATTTACAAAATCTATATCATATACATCCATATACAGCTGCTTCAGTTTCTGCTGCTGCTGCTGCAGCAGCATTTACATTACCACCACCGCCACCATTATCGTTGTTACCATCAACAGCGGTTTCATTACCATCGATAACAAACACATCAACATCATCATCATTATCGATACCGGTTATATCAACATCAAAAACATCGGAAACAACAACAACAACAACACCACCACCACCGATGATTAATCCAAAATCGATACACAAACAACAACAACAACCGGATGAGCAATTCAATAATCAAACAAATAATGATAATAATAACGGTGATGATGATAAAACGACAACATTATTATTTCAAAATTTTCCATGGTTTACTGCGGCAGCAGCTGCCGCAGCCGCAGCAGCAGCAGCAGCGGCAGCCGCTGCGGCTACTACTACTACTACTACTACAAAAAATATCGGAAATAAATCAAAATTAGATGATTCCGGTACGACTACCACTTCTACATCGGATCATCAACGTTTATCAATTCAAATGGAATGAACAAAAAAAAAATAATTTTTCTTTTGTTTTTTTTCTGTTGTAAATAATTTAGTTTTTTTTTCAAGTAAATAAAAAAAATTTGAAAGTTTGTCAATTTCCATTGATTGATTGATTGATTGATCAGTATTAATAAAATATAATAATAATAATAATAATATACACCCTCTCTCGCTTTTAGTGTATACTACGACAACAACAACAACAATACAATCGACTGATGACAATATGACAAATTGACACTTTTGGTGAATTGCAAATGAAATACAAAAGAAAGAGAGAAAGAGAAAACCTTCCAAAACAAAAATAAGTGTTTCTGGTTAGTATTTTTTTTTTTTTTTTTTTGAATTTTATTATCAACATTACAAACCGATCGATTATACACACACACACACACACTGTGGCCAATGTGTCGATGAGTTGATGAATGAAAAAAAAAATTTTTTTGAAAATTAAATCCCTGCAAACTAATATTAAACCTGAGCTGTTTGTTAGCTGATGACGATGACGAACAATCAGAAACTTTTTTTTTCTCGCCCAAACAATTGCTATTACACATATAATATTGTGACAAAACAAATAATATTATGCATATATATATATAGTTGAATGAAAAGAAAACGATTTGTTTGGAATTAATTTCCATCATCATCATCATTGCCATCAATATATAAACGAACGATCAATAAAAAAAAAAGTCAATTCAATAATAATTGATCGAGAGAAAAAAAAACATTTTCTCTGATTGAAATTCACAATACTTTTATTCATTTTGTTGATGGTGGTGGTGGTGGTTTGTTGCATTTTGAATGAATGACACACACACACACACACACTCCAGATTATGATATTTTTTTTTGTCAAAATAATAATTCCAACGATTATTGAATCGTGTGTGTGTGTGTGTGTGTGTGTGTATGGGGAATTTTTTTTTTATTTATTCACACTTTCTATATAGCACAGTGTTTTTCAATTGTTATATGAAAAAAAAAGTGTGAACCAATTTGTTTCCAACAATCAGCGTTTGTTTGAAAGAAATATATAAAAAAAAAAATATGTCACAAACACCCGATATTAATATCGTGATATGATATCATCAGATACCATGAAACCATATCGCGCAAGCTTTATATATATTTTTTTCCTGGTGAATAGGAAACAGATACTTGAAACATACACACAAAGATCAAAATTGCTGCTATATTATAACACGGTAACAGTAATTTTTTTTTTTTTTTTTTGTTTTTCAATTCTCTACATTCTGTATTCAATTTTTTTTTTTTGGTTTTCTCATACGAACGATATACACGTTGGTTATTATATACGGATAGAATGGAATTGAAATTTTTGTCGTACAAAATCAACAATTTCGGTCGGTTGGTCTGTCGGTTGTTTGATTGAACAAGCAAAAAAAATCCTTGAATTATAAATAGAGAACCGAATTTTTTTTTTCATTTTGTTTCGTTGATTCACAACTATAGATTCAATTTTTTTTTTTTTTTTGATATACGATATCTCAATATCGAAACATATGCTTATCAATTTGTAAACTTTTCATCGTTCATAAATGATGGATCAATCAGGCTTGAGTGTGATAAAAATCAAATCAACCCCAAAGTTGGTCAGAATAATATATCCTAATCTCATCCATTTGGCAAAAACGAAACGAAACGAAACGAAATAGAAATCATTCTATTTTGGACTATTAACGATGATATTAAGCATATATACGAGCCTTTTTAGTTTCAATTCATTCATCGTTTTTACAAGTCGTGATTATTATTATTGCTGAAGAATCAAATCAACCAAAAAAGAAGAAATTAAACCTAAATATTTGAATGAATGAAAGACAAAACAAAAAATTGTTTTGTCAACTTTGCACACACATGAACACAGACACACACACACGTATGATAATGAATTGGGTTCGACAATCACAAATCATCGACCACCACCATTATTACATCTGGTCTGTGTGTCTGTTTATGAAATCTATTGATCTGAAACGATTTAGTCCAATGATGATGATATGACTGATCCAAATGGCTTGAGGGGAAAATGGATTTCAGAAATCATCAGAGAAGTTATTTGTGTGTGTCTGTCTGTGTGTGCGTTTGGTGTCTGTTAATGGTAAAAACACCCTGGCCCATTTGGGCTACGACAAAACAACAATCAGAACAATAGATGAAATACTATTACTGTTGTGCACATAAAAACTTGGTAGGTTGCTTTTCATCATCATCATCATATTACTTTGATTTGATAAATTGTGACAATTGACGACAATCAAACAACAACAACAACGAGAGCTTGAAATGAAATTGTTTGAATTTTTAGCATAATTATAATCCATATAACAATATGGATATATTGCGTTTGCCAATGTCAATGTTATCTTCGATCGTCATCATTAGTACAATTTTTTTTTCTCATTTCGATTGATAATTTTACAGTTTTTTTTCAGTCATTTGTTAAGTGGTTTTTTTTCCTATTTTCGTTTGTTGAGATTCACAATCAAAATGATACCGAATTTTCATTATTATGATGAAAAAAAAGAATGGGACCTTTGCTGTTGTTGTCCCATCATCCATATATTGATGATGAAGATGATGATAATGATTTTGATACAAAAAAAAAAAAAAAAAAAAAATACTGCGCTTGTTGTACAAAATGTCACGCAAGCTAATGTCCTATACATTTTATCCTATATTACAAACCAAAAAAAAAAAAAAATATATATGTGTGGCTATCACATTACAACGATGAGAGTCGATCGTTTTCGTTCTCTTTCTCTCTCTCTCTCTCTCTCTACATCCTATTCATGCATTTCGTATTCAAAAAAATAATGTGACGGTTAAAGTTGAACAAAATAAAAGAGAGAGAGAGAGAGAAAAAAAAATTCAGTGTGAAATGTCACGCCATTTGTTTGTGCATATGCAACAAAAAAAAACCTATAAACAGTAAAAAAAAACGATAACTTGCGCGAAAAGTTTTTTCTGAACAACAACAACAACAACAACAAAAATTACATTTTTTCAATTTTTTGATTTAAATTCTTAAATTCCTAAACAATTTTTTTTCTTTTTCTCTCTCCTGGATTCATGGTATTATTTCTTTGATTTCCACGTGATTGATTCGAACAAAATTAAAGTTTCATCAAAAAAAAAAAAAAATTAAAAGCAAAATGGAAAATTGAAAAAATCCATGAGAAAACAAAAAGTCAAAAGTAAAAGTTTTTGTTGTTGTTGTTGTTGTTAATCAACACACACACACACACTGTTGACTAATTTCAGAGAGAATTCATTCAGAAAAAAAAATGAATTCAAAGAATTTATGAATGAGATGGATTTAGTAGTAGCAATAGTATGATTCTTATCTTTAACGATTTTGACTTTTTCTTCGTCAACATTCATTTTCTCATTCTGATAAATGACAAAAGAAAAAGAATGAACGAAAAAAAAATCACCTGGTAATTTGTAATTAGCATTTAAGCCATGTTGTTCGTCTTTTTGTTTTCTTTTTCTCCTTCTTCTTCTTTTACTTCATGGAACTTACTTAAAGCGTAAAAAAAACACACATACACACAACCAGACAATGAAACAATTATGACAATTCAACTTTAAGAAAACCATTATTATTATTATGAAGAAGAAGATCTCAAATGGGATCACACAGTGGTCTATAGTGGTAAATTTACAATGGACTAATCAAGTATTGTATGTTGTTATTGATTTTAACAATATATAGTATAGTACTGTATATACACAGAGCTGATTAGCTGAAAAAATTTTCAAAAATGAAAATTATCTTTTTTCATTGAATAGATAAATAAATAAATATAAAATGAGATTGAGAAGAGATTATGCAACCTATTTAAAGGATTTTCAAACAACAAAAAAAATCAAATTCAAGTATGATTGAAAATTGAACGAAAAAAAAAATAAAGTTAAAAAATGCAAATGAGAAAAAAAAATTTTTTTTTTTCAATAAAATCCGATTGAGAACTCAAATTCAGCATTCAGATAAATGATAAATGGTGACATACGGAACGTTTTCGTCTAATGGATCATATATAGAAAAAAAATGAACAGTAGTTTTTTTTTTGACAAGGTAGTGGTGGTCAAATTACAAAAAAAAATGATGATGATGATGATGAAATGAAGAATAAAAGCAATTTTGGCTCTATAGATTCCTGGACAATAATCATTGAGCCGAATATTTTTTCGTTGTTGTTGTTATCATTTCCGAGAAAAAAATTGTTTCAGTTATTGTGTTTGATTTTTTTTCAGAACAAAAAAAAACCTGAGAAATAATAAAGATTGAAATGATTGATAAGTGAGTAAGTAAAAAAAAAATCATTGTCGTCATCGTCGTCTTACGGATAAGTTTCTTATCTTATCAAACTTATAACCTGGGTTACCACTTGAATTGAACGGTGAATTCATTTATCAGCCAGAAAAAGTTGGCCACAAATTACACCATCCAACTTAGGTAGTTGTAGTAGTAGACACACAATTGTAATTGATTAAGATCAAGATTTTGGATCAATCGCCATTTTTTTTCATTCATTCATTCATTCATCCAAGGATCTATCAATAATGATAATGAAGATGAATGACACTTGAAAAATGCGATAGAGAGAGAGAGAGAGAGAGAGAGAGAGAGAGAGAGAGAGATTTGATTTTTTTTCATTCAAGTCAAACAAGTCAATGTCGGTCATCATTTTTACAGAAAATTTCCCAGAAAAAAAAACATTTTTTTTCATTAAATTTTCTTTCTCATTTTGTTTGTTTTGTATAAGCAACAAATTGTCATCACCATGGGATCAAAAAAAAACGAACGAAACGAAAAAAAAAAATTAGCAAGTTTTATTTTCACCATTTCAACTTCTTTTTTTGGTAGATTTTCAATTTGCATATATTAATTTGTTTCTACTTCACACACCAATATATGATGATGATGATGATGATGGTAAATAACCGACCAAAATCGATTGATATGGAATCGTTTAAGGTTTTTAAAGGCAAAAGCAGGAGGAGGCCTATTGGTTCGGTTTTGTTATGGATCATACACACACACACACACACACAAAAAATCATTCATTATCATGTTAATCGTCGTTACACTGCAGGTTACCTTAAACTTTAAGCATTCAATACTATTATAATATTGTGACTTGATCAAAATGACTTGAATGACTTGAAATGCTCGTATTTTTTTAAGCCAAAAGAAAAAAAAAATCCACCAAAACATATGAAATGGATGAATGAATGAATGAATGAATGATTGTGAGGATTAAAAATTTGGTTTCAATTAACAACGGTTCATTTATAATACCAATTTCCAATTGTAGTTAGGAAGGAAAAAAAAAGAAAAAGGCTGGTTTGGGTTCGTTTTTTTTTGGGCCACCATTTCAGGCTGATTATTTTGTTTACACCAGAAAATAAAATGAATGGAATATATATATTTACGATTTATTAACACTTGAATATCTCTTTCTCTTGGATCGATGTTCCATTTTCATTGATCGGATGGAATGCATCGATTGTGAAATCAAATTAATTTGAATCAATTGATTCACGGGTAAAAATGGAAATCAAGCTAAATCTTGTTTTTAAATATGATTTTACTCACCAAGAAAGAAACTTTACCGGAAATTTTATATATTTGATCTGCCTTTATTTTTCTATTTAGACGAAACAAATCGTCGTCGTCATCGTTGTCGTCGTCGCCGTAGTCGCCGTCTTCTTTTTTTTCTTTTTCCGCTAAGAATCATTATAAACAGTCAATCAATCAATCAATCAATCGGTAGAGCTAGCAACAATAATGTTGTGTTGATTTTATACAACATTTTTATTTTGCCACAACAACAACAACAACAACAATAGCTTTGATTGAGATAATAGAATATGTAATGTGGTAGGCAAGAGAGAGAGAGAGAAAGCGGAAAATGTCAAGCAATAACGAGTTGTTGTTGTTGTTGTCGACGATATTTGATTGATTGATTGAATGAATGAATAAAATATTGAAATTCAAAATGAAGATAGTGGAACGAAAAAAAAATTGAAAGAGTTTGATGAACCATCAACGAATGAAAAATGAAAAAACAGGAGCAAAATTATTAGTGGGCACTTGAAATTTTGTCATTTTATTTCAAAATAAAAAAACGAATAGTCGGAAAAATCCATTAAAAATATTAGTAGTAGTAGTTGACAAATTGCATTTTTTTTCAATTCAAAAAAAATTTTCCAATTGATTCATTTGATTGAGAAAGAGAGAAAAAACCGCAAAAAACCCTTTGTCACAACAACAACAACAACAACAACGGCGACAATTACAACAACAATTTTCTACCCCTGGGTAGGGGTGTGTGTGTGTGTGTGTGTGTGACATGTATAGGACAATATTTTCCACCTCTTACCCCCCAAATGAATGAAAAAAAAATTGATTCAATAATTTAACACTACTACTGCAACTAGTGCCGAAAAAAAGCCAAGAGAAAAAAAAATTATTGCCGCCATTGAAATAATCGAGCTATAATGTTCACATATCGATCGATCGATGATTGCCGACACCGCTGCTGCTGCTGCTGTTGATTTTTTTTTTACCATTTAACACACAACAATAGTGGGGAAACGAAACAAAATCTGAGAAAAAAACCAAAATAGACCTTTGACTGAGACTTGAACTTGAATGAATTACTGACTGTGTGACTGACTGAATGACTGACTGACTGACTGTATGACTGAATGAATTGAATTGAATTGAATTGACAATCTCAACTTTTCATCGTCATCGATAGAGAAATGAGTCTATCAATTTTTTTTTCTCTCTTCAATGCATGAAATTTGTATTTTTTTTTTGTTTCTGGTCAATAAATAAAATGGTCAAAAAAGGAGGAGTATGCAACAAGCCATATGCAAGTTGTCGGCATTTTAAGATCTTTTTTTGTTGTTGTTGATGAAGAGAAAAAAAAATCCAAGAAACAAAACAAAAATGAAAAAAAAAATTGGAAAAAAAACCGGAGACAACAACAAATTGCAGTGGAAAAAAAATGTCAACCTTTATAGTTTTTTTTTCTGAAGCTAAGCTATTAAAAATACAGTAGCTGCTGCCGTTGCTGCTGGATTTTGGGATTTTTTATTTTAAATTTTTGATCTTGATTTTTTCTTCTTTTTTTTTTTTTTCAAATCGATTGATTTTGATCGACATTTTCTTTATTGTTGTTGGATTGACTGTTGTCGTCTTTTTTTTTAAATTTTTGGCTGTTCACCGATTGACGCTTTGTGATTGTGATTGATTGATTGTGTACACTAACTGCCATCACATCACGATTGATTGATTCACTTTATTTTTATAGTTTTTCATCATCATCATCATCGTATTTTTGTCCATTTTTCTGGTTGAATAAATGGTTGGTTGTTGTTTTTTTTTTGAAATTTCAGATGAACGTCAGAGACTTAGCGACTTCTTTTGTTTATGTGTCGGTGTGTGTGTGTGTGTGTGTATGTGTAGTACTAAGAGACAAAAGCAAAATTGAAAAAAAGGTTGGATTATTTTGATTCATTTTTTCTGGAAAATTTTTTCCACTTTAATCATTTTGCCGATAATTGACATAGATCAAATGTTTGCGTCAGAATGGTATCGATTTCTTTTCGATGTACACTGGCTAAACCTACAGCTGGTGCTTCCAAATGTCCACGTCCAACATATTGCAATTTGGTTTGATGTAAAATATTTTGAAAACGTGGCCGTATAAATGTCCATGCACCCATATTACGATGTTCTTCTTGGCTCCAGATTAGATCTGTTTGAAAATAAAGATGGATATATGATTGTTTTAAAATGTCAATGGTTTTTGTTTTTGTTCACACTAACTTTTTGCATTTGGATAACGTTTTAAAATGGCCACTAATTCAGCTGCTGGAAATGGACATAATTCTTCGATACGTACAATTGCTATTGATGATAATTTTGACTGATCATCGCCGAAAAGATGTTGCCGTTGTTTTTCCAATGTATAATAATGTTTACCTGAACAGAATATTATTGATTTAACATTCGATACGGTATTTTTCATATCGATTGGATCAATTTGAAAACAATGTGTAGGCATATAATGTACAGGATCATCTAGTACCGGTGCAAAATGTGATCGTTCCATAGAAAGATCTTCAATATTCGATTGACAACGTGGATGTCGTAGAAGCATTTTTGGCCCCATTACTACCAATGGTTTACGATATGGTCGTATCATTTGTCGCCGTAATGAATGAAAATATTGTGCCGGTGTTGTTGGATAAATGATTGACCAATTAACATTATCGGAATCGATTTCTGTTTCAGATGAATTTGAAATCTGTAAAAATCTTTCTAATCTTGCTGATGTATGTTCAGGTCCTGTAAATTGATTGGAAAAAAATGAATTAATTAATCAATCGAAAAAAGTGATCGATTCAGAAAAAACTAACCAGCACCATCATAACCATTTGGTAATAATAATGTTAATGAACTTTGTAAAAGCCATTTGCCTTCACCACTTGAAACAAGTGTATCGATAATTGTTTGAGCACCGTTGAAAAAATCACCAAATTGTGCCTCCCAAATGGCCAATACATTTGAAGTGGTTAAACTAAGACCATATTCATAGGCCATAACAGCCTCTTCGGATAGAATTGAATTACAAACTTCAAGTTGACCAATATTATCATTTTTCCATGGTAAATAATCTTGATGTTCATTGGCCAAATCATTCAATGGTACATGAACATCATTTGTTGATTGATCAACAATCATACAATGTCGTTGGCTAAATGTACCACGTCCAACATCCTGGCCAGATATTCGTACATCATATCCTTGATATAATAATGAACCAAATGCCAATGTTTCGGCCAATGACCAATCAAGATTTTTACCCGAATTAAAACGTGCTGAACGATCATCGAAAACTTTTTTCAATGTTTTATGTAGATTCCAATCATTTGGTGATTGGGTGGAAACACGACCAATATGTTTTAATAATGCTTCTGGTACAGATGTATCCCATCTAGTTATATGATCACTGCTTGGCCATTGAACATCTTTCCATAAACTTTTCGCATTCGATATGATCACCGGTACCGATGGTGGTTTATATTCATTAACATTCGTCAATGAATCATTAAGCATTTGATTATATTCATCAATAATTGCTGTAATTTTTTCTTGTGACATTTCAATTTTTTCAGCATATGATCGTGGTATTGATTTTCTTGAATGAATTTTTTCATACATTTTTGGATTCGTAAATGTTGGATCATCCAATTCATTATGGCCCCAACGACGATAACAAACAAGATTGATTGCAACATCTTTTCGAAATTTTTGCCGATAATTATATGCTAAACGTGCTGCACGTGCAACCAAATCAGGATGATCACCATTAACATGTATTATTGGTGCATTGATCATTTTCAATGGATCCGTACAATATAATGATGAACGTGATTGATACATACGGCCAGGAGTTGTATAGCCAACCTGATTATTAACCACAAGATGTATTGATCCATTTGTCATATAATGTTCAACATTTGCTAATGCCAATGTTTCCATTATAATACCTTGTCCAGTGAATGATGCATCACCATGTATTTGTAATGGCAGAATATTGGAAAATTTACTGACATCATCAGTATTCCAAGAATATGGACCAATACGTTTATGCATCATTTGGCCACGACTATAACCACAAACCATTGGTGCAACAACTTCTAAATGCGATGGATTCGGTAATAATGTTGCCACAAGATTCTTTTCGAATTCAATTTGTGTATAAAGATGTGATAATACATCACCAATAACCATTGTTGATGATTTACGATTATTATATTGAAAATCAAATTCATCACGTCCAGATAGTTTATGAAATAATGCTTTAGCTGGATATTGTAGTTTATTTACCAATAAATTTAAACGTCCACGATGTGGCATTCCAATTATTAGTTCATTCATAAAATCACCATTTTCGCTTTGGTCATTTTGTTGTAATAATCGTAATAATTCATCAATAAAAATAATCATTGTTTCAGCACCTTCACAACCATAACGTTTGACTGATTGAAATTTTCGCGCAAGAAAATGATCCAATGCTTCGGTTATTAGTAAATCTTTTGCCACCAATTCTGTATTATCGAATGGCAGCGGATTTTCATGTTCACGTTCAATTTGTTTTGCAAACCACGTTTTTTCATCAAATGATAATACATGATCAAATTCAAAACCAATATTTCTACAATACATGTTGAATAAATGATGAATAAATTCTTTCTTGTCCACTGATGATGCAACAGGTTCACTATCCAGAAATTTTTCCAAATTAACACCCAAAATTGGACTTAATTTCTGTGTGAATTGATGAAAATCATTGTTGTTTGAATCAGTGATTGGATCAACATCGGTTAGATTTGCCAATGACAATGGATCTAATTGACAGAGAAGATGTCCACGTTTTTGAAATGCTTGTTTCACCATCGAATAAGACAATGGTAATCCATTATCAATCTGTTGATTTTGTGACCATTCATCAATATTCAAACGATATGGTTGTGTATTACCGAAAATACCTGAATGAAATTCAAAGTCAACAGAAAAAAAATTGATTCAAATCATTTATTCATAACCATCTCACCTAACCTTTGACTGGATGATAAAATCTTCTGGATATTTGATGAACAATTAACCTTGATGATGTCAATGATGATAATTGAGGCCACATTTTTTTCTATTCCTTACACACACACATACACACACACCCACACTGAAATATACAATTGAACAAGAAAACTCTCAAGAAAAACAACCTTCAAAAAAATGTATTCCAAGTATATCAATAATGATCATCAGCTGATCTCTTTTCTTTTTTTTCGCATCATTTTGTTATCACAAAATCAAATGATGTTATCAATCAACAGCAACAGCAAGGGACAACGGCAAAATCATTTGATTTAACCAAAGATAAATAAAAACAAACAACGCCATCTTTCGATGGTTGTTTTTGCCATCTTTTGGTAATAATTGTTGATGTGTTATAATAAAAAAATCGTTCAACCAAATGGTCAAAAGATTGACAACATTACAACTTCCACTAGTAAAATGGCAGTTTTGTTTTGTTTTTTTTTTTTTTTTTTTGAAAAAATGACATTCAACAACAACAACAACAACAACGACAAAAAAAAACTATTCTCGTGACCATTCTCTGGACATAGTCAGAGATTTATGAATCAGAATATTCAAGTTCATTTAATTGATTGCAACAACAGAAATTATCAATTTTTTTTCTGAATGCATAAAAAAAACAAAAACAAAAAAAAATTGCAACAACCACACACCGACACCAACACCAACAACAGCAAACAACGACAGTAAGAGATAAAAAAAAAAAACCAAAAAAAAAAAAAAAAAAAAAAAAAAATGTCAAAATAAAATGAAATCAAACAACGTGATCAATGAAAAAAAAAATTGAAATTGAAATTATGAAAAAAAAAATTTTCTTTTTCGATTTTGATCATTTATAAACTGAATTTATATAATTCGAGTTCAATTGTGGAAGTGATAATCAATCACACACACACACAATCGACGTATTTATTCCAATTTTTTTTTGTTTGTTTCCCATAATTATTACTATGAAAATATATACATAACTGATATATATATTATATTAGTATATTGGTATATAAATCTGTGCAAAAATACACGCTAAAAATGAACGCTATTGGAAAAAACATTCAATCAATGCACCTAATAGTCACACACACACACACACACACACAAAAATGGAGTGTAATAAACGACATCATCATCATCATCATTATCATCATCTGCAAAATTTATTTAACAAAAGTAGAAAAAAAAATTTACAGGAAATCAAGTTTTTTATTATTATTCAAAAACGAAACAAAAAAAAAGTTGTTTGCTCGACAAATCAATATCCTGGATTTCCTTTTTTGCGATCATAATCATCACACATCAATATATCAACCAAAACATTGTATGGATGATCTGCCAGTTTGTTGTGTTTAGTTGGCCAAAGTTTTGTATTTTTTTTTAATTTTGTAAATTTAATTGTAAAGTGAAATTTTTTTTTTTGCATTTCTTGAAAAAATAAAATAATTTCCGTTTCAGTCATCAATTGTTTTGATCATTTAATCGATGTTGGGCTACGTTTGATTGATTGATTTTTTTTTCTTTGTAATTCGTTATAATCAATTAGTGATAATTGTGATTCTAATTCTGTGCATGTGTTTGTGGTTTTTTTTTAAATTAATGTGTCTTGTTATGTAAACAAAATGTTTTCATTCGTCATCAACAACAACAACAACAATTATCATTATGTAAGGCAAACAACTACAACAACAACAACAAACAATCTAAATCGACAACAACAACAACAAAAAAAACGAATAATAATGATCAATAAAATGTTTGAAATGTTAATCATAATATTATCGTTGTTTATCAACGAATTATCATTAATACAATCATTAGAATTACGTGCCAATTGTGGTTTTCCTGGTAAACCATATCGGTCAAAAATTATACCTGAAGAAAAATCTGTATATGAAGAAGGTGAAACAGTATCATTTCAATGTAGTGATTATTGGTCACCACCACAGATGCGTAAATGTGTCAATGGTGTATGGGTTGGACCACCAGCACGTTGTGGTGATTTTTTGAATAATGTCGTATTGAATGATGCTAAATTGTTGGACATGTCATTTGGATTACCGATTGAAAAATTTCATTATCGTAATATAAATCTAACAAAAATGGAGAAACATCTTCCAAATTCATTTTTAGCACAACGATATCCTGATCACAAATTACGTGTGACCAATGATCATGAATTTATGTGGAAATTAAATTTCACTAGACCAGCAGTGAAATTATTTGTTCGTGTTAATTTTAATTTCATCAATTTCACATTATTAGATCAGGCGATCAAGAATAATTTTTCATTCTATATTGATGTCGAAATCAGTCCATATAGAACATGTAATTTGGATTATCAAAACAGTAATGCATGGCGTGATAATGGTAATCGTATTGATTCATATTTCACTTGTGAAGCACATTCCTATCAAGATCTTGAACGTGATCTAGATACTCCAAATAATTATATGATAATGCGCACAAAAAGTTCACATAATCTTCCACATGAACTGGCCGCAATATTTTTCGGTAGTGTTTATGGCAATGAAAGTGATCCAATATGCGGTGAACCAGAAACAGATTTTGGTCAAACTTATCGTGTGCGGCAAGAATATCGTAATTACATTATTGATTGTTTGGACAATCAATGGAAAGATGTAACACCGAATAAATATAAAAATTTTGTCAATCATCAAAAATGTATTGGTGATATGATTTGGAATGGAACAAAACCACGTTGTACACCGATACGTAATTGTCCTATAGAGAAAATAATGAAAAATAATCGTCGAAATTTCAATGAAAATGATACGGAAAAAGATCCATTAGTTGTCGATGCTATATTAGGATATTATAATTTCATTGAAAATCAAACTATTTACGCTATTGATGGTACAGAAATTGTTTATGCATGTGCATCGGTCGATTATATATTGGTTGGTAAGGATACACGCACTTGTAAACGTGATATGACATGGTCCGGTACGGAACCGGTTTGTAAATGTAAGTAAAAAATTTTACCACAATTTCTTGTCATCGTTTTTCCTTTTTGTAATTTTTTTTTGGTGAAGATATAAAACCAACAAATGAAATTGTTGAATCACCAAATTATCTGATCGTAATCATCATCTGTATGGGAACATTATTGTTTCTAATTTTATTTGCATCATTCCTGTTATTTTTATTCTATACAAAACATATAAAAATTACTAAAAAAAGCGACAAATCTAGTAATGGTGATGAATCCACACATAATGAATGGCAAGGTGAAAATTATTATGATAATATTGAAATGAATTTCAATCAAACTGGATTGGGTGCATTGGGTTTAAATATTGTTGGTGGTGGTGGTGGCGGTGGTGGTGGCGTTGGTGGTGGTAGTAATACCGGTATTAGTGGTGGTAAATCGAATGATGTTTTTTATGATATTTATGAAACAGTCGATAGTAATAAAGGTGATAATAGTAATAATAATAATAACACTGCTACCAATCTAATACGTTATGCTGAACCGAATCAATATTTTTATGGTACTGAACAATCATTATTGAATCATAATTTAAATAATATGAATAATTTGAATAATCAAAAAGAAAATGACTATATTCGTATGTATGGATCTGGATTAAAAGTACATGAAACTGGTATTGTAACGCCAATCACTGCTAGTAATACGCCAATCACATCTAATATTAATAATAGTAATAATAATAATGGATCAAATACAACCAATACACCGATAACATCATCAACAACAACATCACCGAATACGGGCATTATCATCAGTGGTGGCGGTGGTGGTAGTGGTGGCGGCGGCGGTGGTGTTGGTGCTGGTGGCGGTGTTAATAATGGTAATTCAACACCATCATCAATACATCATTCATCATCGATTCGATCATCGAAACAGATGAAAAATCGTGAACCATCTTATTTGGAAGTGATGCAATGAACAAGAAAACAAAATCAAGAGATATGAGCAAAAACACAATCTTTAAACACAAACAGAAAAATAGGACACCAATCAACCAACCAACCAACCAACACAAACACACACACACACACACATGAATCATTTAACCCAAAATTTATGAATTATCAAGCAAGACACAAAGTGAAAAATTCTGTAAAGATTTCTTTATTTATGCAAAAAATATTGTCTGGTTTTTTTTCACTCAAAAATATTTGAATAGTTGAAATTTTTTTTTGTTTTCGGTGGTCATTTTTTTTGTCTTGTTTGTTTTGTTCTTCCATGGCTAATAATAATGATAATTTTGTTTTGATTTCTTTTTTTTGAAAAAAAATAAAATAAATAATTATCCTGCTCCACCAATTATAACGAGTATTTCTTGATTGCATTTTCCATTCATTCATTCAATCATCGGTTATTCACCATATTTTTTTTTTTTATTGCCAACAATTTTTGGTCAAATAACATTGAAATGCCCAATTTGGTAACATAAATTCCAAACGATCCATTATGGAAATTGACAATTCATTCAGCCAGTTTAGATACTAATAATAATGCAAATTAATTAACAAAATAATGGTGAAAAATCAACCAAACTTACCGATTGAACAATGAATACAATTTGTACTGGATATTGATAAAATATAAAAGTCATAATGGCCGTCAATGTACAAAGACTAGCAGTGAATCGTATGAAAAATGGTATCGATTTTTTTGGATAAACAGATACTTCATGATAATCTAAACGAAAAAAAAAAAATATTCGAATCAATTATAACAGAATTACAATCTATATAATAATAATAGACAAACAAACCTGGTAAAAGCTCACGATCAGTACATTCAGTACAGGTTAGATATGGATGAAATAGATGACCTTTTTCCAATGGAAATGGTATTATACGAAATGCTAAATAGAATAGATTATTATTAATGAATTACTAAATACTAATAATAGAAAAACTAAACTAACTTCCTTTCCATGTACAATCCAATAGATTTAATGCACCATCAATACGTTTCCAATGTTGAAGATGAAAAAATGCATACGCAATTGCTTCACTATCACCACGTTTAAGTATATGTTCTGGTGGAAAAATCAGTTTTTTAGATTCCAATAAATACTTTGGTACATGTGGATTGAATTCAACGGCACGATGTATAGCTTCCACAGCATTCATTTCAGCCATCGATAATCCACGTTTCACCACACTATCTGGTGAGAATTTTTCACCAATATTTCGTGATTTCAACAAGGCTGATGTGTAGCAAATTGTTGCCGATTTTGGCAGACTAATATCATCATATTTTGCCAATAATGCTTGCACATCAGCATAGGCATTCATTTCTAGCAATGCTTCAATTAGATTCTCATGTATATTAAATAGATTCATCATTGGAAATTCTTTAATCAAATCTCGCATCATTTTCACTGATTCACGTAATTTACCAAGTTTACGTGCACACATTGCTAATCTTCGTCGTATATAGATCAACACGTTTAAATCACGCCGATGTTGTGCATCAATTGTTGATTGTTGATAATGATTTTGATGATGATGATGATGATGATTTGATGAATTTGTTAGCGATGATAATGATGATTGTTGTGGTGATGATGATGACGATGTTGTTGATGGCGATGATGATGATGATGATGTTGGTGATTTTCGATATTGTAATTCAGCTGCACGTAATGCTGTAAGAAAAATTTTTTCCGCTTCCCATACAGTTTTGGCATCTTCTTCAGCCAAGAGTATTAATGCCGGTGCACAATCAGGATTGGATTCTAATGCTTTATGTGCTGAACGTATACGAACATCGGGGTCACGTTCACGCCATGCTGTTAACATTACTATTTAGGAATATTTTTGTCTTTAATTATTCCAAAAAAAAATCATTCGCAACAACAACTTACTTTCCATGTCCTTATGACCTTGATCACCATCACAAGTAAAAAATGTTTGATGATCTTGTGCCGATAGATTCATATCATAAAATGTCAATGGTTCACGTTTAATAGCCATTGTTAGACGATTATATTCACAACCACGAAACAAGCTCATTGGATTACGCCATACTTTTGAATCTAGAAAAATTTCAATCAATCAATAGATTTCTTCATTAATAAAAAAAGCAAAATTTGGTCATCACAACAAATACCTAATGAAATATGTCCTTGCATTAGATGACGATTATCAACAATCGATGATTGTTGTTGTTGTTGTTGATGTTGAGGCTGTTGCTGATGCGGTTGTTGTTGTTGTTGATCATCACTTTCATTTGAATCAATTGATGATTGTGAATTTGCACCGGAAAATGTACCATTTTGTTGTGAAATATTATTATTGACAGTGTTGTTGCTCGAATTATTCGTATTGATACCAAATAATGGATTCAGAATATTCATCAATATTTGTTCGATAAATGATATTCCATATTTAGCAAAATACCACCATTCAAAAAGCTTTTTGGAAATGCAAAACAAAAACAACAACAGAACGTTTAATCTGAGAATTTAACCAAAAACAACAACATTCTTACCAGAATTAAAATTGAAATAAAAAATGATGATGCAGTCAATGCCAGATAGAATCTGGGCGTTAAAACATTCCATAATATTAATCCCATATTTATTTATTTTTTGACAATCACTAATTATCATTTGATGAATATATGAATGATCGTGTGAGAGGAAAAAAAATTTTTTTTTTTCGATATTCTTTCCACCTTTACACAGTAAATACACACAGAACAAGATACAGCACAAAAAAAAAAATTCTTGTTTTTGCTTTATTTTTTCTTCTTCTTTTCTCTTCAATGCACACAGTGTATAAATAAAAAAAAATGGAATTTTTTTTTGTTTTCATAAATTTTTTTTCGTGTATGCCGTTCATAGAATACGTGTTTTTTTAATTCATTTTTTATTTGTAAAAAATAGCAATAATTGAAATTTTTTTATTATCATTTGATTATATCATTTAAAAAAAAATTGAGAAGAGAAACGTACAAAAAAAAACATCATTTAGAAAGAAACTACAAACTATACAGGTAGGTGGATAAACTACAAACACACACAGACACATACACACACACACACACGAATCGAAAAAAATTATTGCCCTAAATCCAAAAAAAAACTGATAATATTATGTACCATGTTGTTTTTGTTGTTGTTGTGTTGTGTAAATGGAAAATTTATAAACCGGTAAACATTGTTTGTTTGTCAATCTTTTCTTTTTGCTTTTTGTTTTTGTTTTTTCGGGACACTTTTTTTTCTCGTTGTGGTTCTAAAATTATTATTATTATTAGTTGGTTGGTGATGATAATGATGATGATGATGACGATGGTGGATATGAACGTTTAATTCGTTCTTCTTCGGCTTGCCATTCCATTTTACGACGATGTTGTTCAATAGCATCATTTACTTTGGCCATCATCATTTCATGTGTTAATATACCATTTTCAGATGCATATGCTGATGCTTGCCATGCAACAGCTAATTTGGCTATTTCACGACCAGAAAGACCATCAATGTTTTTGGCAATATCCGTACAAGTGGAATCATAATCGAATACATCCAATTTAAGCCGGCTGTTTATGCAAAAAAAAAAAAAACAATGAATATTGAAAAACAGAATTCCAATTACTTACCTTCGACGGCTAACCGATGGTTCCAAAACAAATTTATCAAAATATAACCGTACTAAACGTTCACGTTCAGATAATGTTGGTAGATTGAATGAAATCAATTCATCCAAACGATCATGTATGGCCCAATCAAATTGTTCGGGTGTATTCGATGCTAATACCAACATAAAACGATTAGATTGTTCACCCGTACGATATAGGAAGGCATTCAATGCTGAACGTAAATGTTCACTCAAAGTTTCGGAAGCTCTTTTACGTAGAAAGGCATCAGCTTCATCGACAAACAACAAAAGGCCACGACGTGATGTTGTTGCCCAATTGAATAATTTATGTATGGCTGTAACACCATCACGACCCATTGGTGCAACATCACCACCGGACATGATTGCATAATCCATACCGGAATGTTCAGCCAAACGTTTAGCGAACAACGTTTTACCCGTACCAGGTGGACCATAAAACAATACATTACGATAAAGGCCACCATTTTTCTTTGTATTTTTCGTAGCAATAGCAATATCACGAAGACGTTCTTCAAGACTTGGTTCAAGTATAACACCTCTTAATGCATCAGCTGGTTTACGACTCAATGCTAATCGTCTGACTGTTTTATATGGATGTTGCAGGCCATCAATCATATTCAAACGAGATGTATCACGTACTAATGATGGTTTTCCAACACGTGCTTCGAGTACACGACCAGCTAAACCGATACCATGTTTAGCAGTATATATGCCGGCTGCCATTAATGTAACACCAACAGCCGTTGCTGATACACGTTCCCAATCGGAAATGAATGCCCGAAAACCTTTTCCGAATACATCACCAGCAGTGACTATAGCTTCCAATAATGTTGTTCGTTCTTCGGCAGCTTTTGCCTTCAATTGTTCCAGTCGAATATCACGATTTTGTCGTTCCGCTTGTGCTTGGCCACGAATTTCTGCTTCAATACGTTTAGCATCGGCTGCTGCACGCAATTCCATCTCTTTTTCTAATGTTGCTTTTCGAATAGCTTCTTGTTTGGCTACAGATTCTTCTTGACGTTTAAGATTTTCATCATTGGCTGCTCTTTGTTGAGCCAGTTGATCTTCGAAACGTTTTCGTGCTAATTGATCTTCATATTGAGCTTTCAATTGAGCCTGTTTTGATTCTTCTGCCAACATACGTCGACGATGTTCTTGTTCCTGTTTTTTCGCTTCGATCTGTGCGCTTGCCATTGCTTGTTCATATTCTTTCATTGTTTTCTGTAATTCCAGCTGTTTGGTCGTTTCCTGTTGTCGAGCTAAATCTAGTGCAGCTTCTGCATAACGAGATTGTTCCAATTCTTTGGCTGCTTTTGCTGCACGTTCCAATGCAGATGAATCAAATTGATATGGATTCATTTTCCCACTACCACCACCGCTACCGGAAAGATTTAAAAGGCCACCAGAACCACCGCTACCGCTTCCCCCACCACTACCACCTGAAACACCACCACCACCACCATCAGGTGATCCAGGCATACCTGGTGGCTGTGGTGGTCGCTGTGGATTGGAATAGCCAAATAACCAAGACATTTTGATCTAAGATTTCGAACATGAACATAATAGAAAGTTTAAAGATGTATAATTTCAATGAAAAAAGCCACTTACATTTTAGAACTTAAAGAAAATTATTATTATTATTATTATTTACCGAGCAATTGAATAACAAAAGGCAGTGGTTTGGAAATGATTCAATCAGATTTATTAGATAAATAGAAAATGGATTATTTTTGAGCGAATAATAATCGACAAAACGACGAAATGTGAAAATAATGTCGATGAAATAGACAACAAGGGCAAAAGTATTTTTGTAACAATCGAAAAAAATGATTAAATAATGAACCAAGAAAAAACACGTGTTGGTTTCACTCAGTTCGGTATGTGTGCGTGTGTTGGTCGAGATCAAAATTCAGTCATCTCATTTGTGAATGGTTATATATTTTTGTTTATGCTCAAAACATTGTGAACAAAACAATGTTTTGAGCAAACAAATCTTGAAAAAATCAATCAAACATTAATAAATTCTGAATTTGGGATTTTGTATCCATTAATTATTAAATGAATAATTGCATTGTCAATGATATATTGTTTTTTTAATTTATAATTGAAAAAAAATACACACACAAACATGAAATGGCAATTTCAACCCAACGCAACCATTTGAGTTGTCACTGCTAACTAAATTGAGTACAGTAGGTTCTACAACACATTTATTAACCACTATCAATATATTGAATATAAATAGATTGAATGAATATCGCGCTTGTTTTAATGCTACTTCTTATCCAATTCGAATTGAGTCGGCATTTTCCCTCCAAATTTTCGTGAGTCAACAGTACGATATACGAGCAAGTGTGTTTGATTTGACAATTGAATTTCGAATTGGTTTTGTTTTAATTCTCTAGTATTGATCGAAATTATTATTTTTTTTTTTTGAAAAAAGATGGACAATCGTATCAAATTAAGTGATGGTTCATTGGATTTAATCCTTGAACAACGCAATTTAAATCTTCGGCCTATCGTGCAGGTATTGGGTGCTAAAGTGTTGGCCAATAATCGTTTACGTGTAGTAGTATTTGATGGTCGTACACTTTGTCAACATTGCATCATGATTGCCGAAGAGATGGAAAATTTATTCAATCAAGGACAATTGGATAAATTCACTATAATACGTTTGGAACAATATTCCGTATCATCGATACCGAAAAAGGAAAATACTCCTGTTATTTTGGTTCAAAAAGTGGAAATTATTAAAAATGGTTTGTTTAGTTCAGATATTCAATATTTTATATTATAATTTTGTTTTTATTTTAATAGGCAATGATGTTGGTAAAAAATTGGATCCAGATGAATCTATCGATCTGGTTGATACTGCTGCTTCTGCTGGTACATCTGGTAATACTAGTGCTGCTGCTGTGGCGGATTCTGTTATGACTGACAGTGCTTCTTCGTCAACAATCATTCGAAACACAATGAATCAATTGACTAGTTCAACACAAAAGAAGCCACCAATGAAAGCTACTGCTGGTGATATTGAAATACGAACCGAAAATGTTTGTCCAATTAGTGTATTGACACCATTCTATAATTCTTGGATGATTCGTGCATTGTGTATACATAAAGGTGCACATCGCACTTATAGCAATCAACGCGGCCAAGGTCGTTTGTTTAGCTTTGACCTTTGTGATGATACTGGAGAAATACGTGTCACTTGTTTCAATGACGAATGTGATCGTTTTTATAATTTGATCCAGAAAGATCGTTGCTATTATGTTGGACGTGGTATGATCAAAACTGCTAACAAAAAATTTTCTACAGTAAATAATGATTATGAAATTACGTTGACACAAAATAGTTTTGTTAAGCTTTGTGAAGATGCCCAAATTGAAGCACCGAAATTACGTTATAAATTCATTCCATTAGCAACAATTGCCGATAAGGATGCTAATAGTGCTGTCGATGTTATTGGAGTTATCCGATCTGTTGGTGAAATTGAAACATTAACATCAAAAAAGACATCAAAAGACTTGATAAAACGTGAAATTATAATTGTCGATAAATCATTGGCTGAAGCACGATTGACATTATGGGGTGAACAAGCGCAAATGTTTAATGGTCAACCAGATCAGATTCTTGCTTTGAAAGGAGCATCGATTGGTGATTTTAAAGGTAAAACCTTATCGGCTCGTGATTCAACAGACATTTCAATTGATCCAGATTTGCCGGAAAAAAATCTACTTGAAGCTTGGCATTGTTCATTGAGTGGTAATGAAAATTTCAATCAATTATCAAAAACATCGGATTCACCGGCTATTTGTCAAATGAATCATTTCATTGCACAGATAATACCGAAAAAGCTTAAACTGGATGAAACATTTAATTTCTATACAACAGCTACTGTTCATGCATTTAATCGTATACATAATCAACTTTACAAAGCATGTGGTTATAATAAATGTCAGAAAAAAGTAACCGATACTGATGGAACTGGTGCCTATCATTGTTCTAAATGTGAACGAACATCAGCTATATTTGAATGGCGTTTAATGATCAGTGTATTGTTAGGTGATTCAAGTGGTTCATTCTGGGCAACTTTATTTCAAGATCAAGCAGAAAAATTGCTAGGAAAATCTGTAGCTGAACTGGTCCAGTTATATGAAGAGGATCAAAATCTTTACAATGCTATTGTAGATGAACTATGTTTCAAACAATTTAATTTCCGTATCTACTCACGTTTGGAACAATATAATGGGGAAAATCGTATTCGTCATACTGTTGGACAGATTTATTTTTTGAAACCAAAAGCAACAATGACAAAACTATTGCGCTCAATTGAAATTGTGTCACGTCAGCTTTAAACAGCAACGATGAAAAATTTAAAATTTTTCTTTTTTTTTCAAAATTTCAAAATCTCAAATAGAGAAAATGTCAGAAAATGAAATTTTTTTTTGCATTCATTAATAATGATTTATATGAATAAATAATATACCCGTTGATTGATTGAAAATAAAATGCACGAATTTTCGTTTTTTCATTTCCGAGAAAAAAGTTATTCATTTTACTATTTTTTTTGGGCAAAAATCTATTTTCAGGTATCGATGATGATGGTGAGAGAAAAGGATATCTCTACGGTTCAGTAACGGTTCAATGGTTGAAATAGAACAACAACAACAAAAAATTTGTTTCTCGAATTGAAATTGAAAATCAATTCGTGTTTCGTGTTTGAGAAGCAAAAAAAAATTTCATTTTATTTTGTCATTTGCATTGCTCCAATCACCATATATGATGATGATGATGAATTTTCGATATACTTTTTTCATTATTCTAATTTGTTTGATTCCAAAATCCATTGAAATGTTTGAGATGCGATCCAAATTTGATGATACAGATGATCCAAAATTGATTGGCCGGTTTCAATATCATCAACAGGTATGTTAATAATAATGATATTGATTGGTTTTTTGTTTTGATCGTTTTTTTTCTGGTTTGTCAAATAAAGGGTCTAAATGGACGACATCCTATGAGCTATCGTTTTGGTTTCGTAGCCGATGATCACCAGAATCCATTAAGTCGTCATGAAATGAGTCATTCACCTGGTCATGTTACAGGTGCTTATTCATATATTGATGCTAATAATAAATGGCAGGTAATTCATTGATTGATTGATTTAATTTCCGAAAAAAATCTAATTTCAACACACACACACACACAAACAAAGGTTGTACAATATGAAGCACATCCAGAACATGGATTTCGTATCGTAAAACAATGGACTAAAGATCGTGATTAGCTAAATTGAATTTGAAAAAGACGAAATCACCCATGAACCTAATACGAATACGAATTTTATTTACAAAATGAAAATAAAAGTTAATTTTACTTGATAATTAATTTAATTTAATTCAATTATCGTCTTTATTGTTGTTGTTGCTGTTTATAGATTTTTGTATGTCTGAAAAACCTTGAATTTATCGATCGATATTTATACATACATATATTATGTAATAACCATTATTATTATGTACACGAAATTATGTCGTAAATGGTGTTTATTTTTTTTCATTTTGGTTCGTCTCATTGGTTACATTTCTATGGTTACGCGACATTTTTTTTTTGAAAAGCTTGTTGTTTTCGTCGTTGTTGTTTCTGGAACAAAAAACAAAAAAAAAGAATATAGAGACATTTTTGACCACACAGAAAAATGTGATGAGCCAATTTCCGTTCCGAAACATTCATATATATAACACACATTACACACACACACAGCAAACAAAATAAACAAATTCATCATATAAACGTAAACGTAAACGGTGTAAATGACCATCAAACCATTACTACTACTTGTAGTGTTGGAATTTTTGTTTTGCACCATTTTTGACCAGTTGAAATTTTTTTTCCATTTCTTTGTATTAATAAACAATCGGTTCACATCAATGATCGATAATAATGATACAAAGATTTTTGTTTCGTTATTGTTTTTATTGTTCATCATCGGATCAACAAAATAAAAATCCATCAACACCTGCTACGACGGCGACGACAATGAATTCATCATTAACAGAGAATCAAACATCATTATCAACAACAACATCATCATCATCAACGACAACAATGGTTGATCATGATGATGATGATGAAAATATAATGATGAAACCTAAATGGCGACCAAAACGACATTTAAATTGTTGTGGCTGTGATTGGTTTCATATTGGACAACAATGGAATCATCATTATCGTAATCATCGTAATGAAGAGCTGGTTAAATTATTATTAATTGGTCTAGATAATGCTGGCAAAACAACATTGGCATTACATTTAGCTGGTGGTATGTGAATTAATTTTTTTTTTTTTTTGATGAAAATTATTCAATTTTTCATCCGGTTTAATTTTAGAATCGGTGGATGATGTTGTTTCGACGATTGGTTTTTCAAAATATGAATTACATTTACGACAGAATCGTTTTAAAATTATTCTCTATGATGTTGGTGGCAGCGTACGTATACGTTCCATTTGGCGTAATTATTATTCACTGGTACATGGCATCATTTTTGTCATTGATTCAACCGATCTGGAACGTATATTGGAAGTGAAACAGCTATTACAGCAACTGGCATCCAATCCATTGGTTTTGGGCAAACCAATTTTAATGTATGTTGATTGATTCAAAACAGAGAGACTGCTAACCTAACTGATTTCAGATTTCTAAACAAACAGGATAAATTCGAAGCAATGGATGAAATTGATTTATGTAAATTTACAAATTTCGATGAAATTATGTCTAAATATCAGTGTATAACGAAAATTGTTTCAATATCGGCTAAAATGACAGCTATACAAAATCAAACTGGTAACAATAATAATAATAATAAAAATGGCAGCCACGAAATTGATACGACAATCGATTCTGGTCTAAAATGGATATTGGGTTGGATCGATAATCAATGGTCAACATTGAATGAACGTGTTGAACAAGAAAGTCGGCAACAAATTTCCAAAGAAAATGATACAATGCAAAAAAGAATCAATCGTATTCAACAACGTAATCGTATTGAAGCGGAAAATAAAGTATCGAAAATTGTTGATAATCAGCCAAAATCAATTATTGACAACAACATTGATAATGATGATGATCATGATGAAGTAATTATTAAACCAATCAAATTGGATGATGAGAAAAATGAAAATATCATCATTCATCAACCGGAAATATTGTCGATACCGAATGATGAAACAAATGAACAAATCACTACGGCGGCGACGACGACAAATGAATTATCATCATCATCAAAATCATCAAATGGTTCGGCACAATCTATCAATAACCGTCCACCATTAAAACGTACGAATAAAATCTATCCAACCACCGCTATTGGTTGATTGAAAAAATATCAAAAAAAAAAAATTTTTTTTTTGTTCATTTCATCATTATTATTCTTGTTTGTAATTTTTATTCAATGATAATAATAAAATTTATTCAATAAAATTATGTGAGAGAGAGAGAGAGAAAAAAATAAATAAACACATGCACTGATCAAACTGTTGTTACTAGACATGTTTTACGATTTGCATTCGATGACGATGATGTTGATATTGATGAATCTGTCGATGAATCTTTTCGGCCACGATTAGACGATTGATTTGTTGGTTTTCGTTTTTCATTTAGGTTTCCATTATTTGTATTATTATTTGTATCGGCCATATTCTTCTTCTGACGATTTTCATTTTCATTGCTGCTCATGCTGCTATTAACATTCATCAATGTTTGATGATTATTGGAATTATTATCACTGTTTTCGTTGTTGTTGTTGTTATTTGGACATGGTGTTTTCACAAATGTCATGAATGTAAAATTGTTATTTGTTTGCAATTTATTAGCCATTGTCATCGATTCTGGTTGTTGTATTAGTGATTGTGATTTATAATGATTACTGCCATTACTATTACCACGTTGATTCAATGATCCATAATGAAGATAACCATGATGTTGTTGCTGTTGCTGTTGATAATAACGATATTCATCACCACGTAATGATATTGATGGTGACATTTTTAATGATTTAGTTGATGACAGATTATGTTGGCTATGATGATTTGATCGATTCATCATCATTGTTGTTGCTGCTGTGGAATTATGATTATTATTATTATTATTATCACCATCATCATAATCATCAATATCTTTAATTGGTAATGAATCATATGTTGTACTACGAATGAGATTGGTTTTCATTTGTATTTCATGGTTTGCCAATGATCTGCAATGAAAACAAAGAGAAAAGAAAAATTTGAAAATTGATATTTCATTCAATACAATAAATTACCTTCTTATGGGAATCAAACGGTTAAACATAGATCCGGATGATTTATCCGAATAATCATGATCATTAATCAATTCCTGTGATCCACCATTAATCGATAATGGTTGTTTTAATAAATTTCTATTCAATGGTAATGGTGGTTTCGACGTATCCGAAATCGATGATTGTTGTTGTTGCTGTTGCTGTTGTTGTTCATTCAATTTATCATGTGTACTTTTACTTCGTGGCCAGAATTTAATTTTTGATTTATTTTGAACACTTTTTTTATCTGGTTTTGGTGATGAAAATAATTTCGATTTAATATTGGATAATAAAGATTTTTCTTTTGATTTTGTTGTTGTTGTTGTTGTTGTTGTCGATATCGGATTATTGTTATTGAATTGTTGTTGTTGTTGTTTTTGTGGTAATTGTGAATGATGATGATGGTGATGATTTCTAGTTGATGGTAATCTAGGTGGACTATCATCCATAAGTAATTCCATTTCAGTGTTGGTTTCTGCAGCATCTGCACCAACAATTGGATGACGATCAAAATATTTTGATGAAGTTTTCACTACAGCCGTTGTAGCTGTTGATGATGATTTATTCTGAAAATATCTTGCATGACTTTGTACAACTTGTTTACGATGTTTACTTGTAAACATTAGATCACGATCTTCAAAATCAGCTTTCGTATTATTTGTCATAAATTTATGTCCACGATTTAATGAACGTGAATTTTGTTTAAAATTCATTGATCTATCATCATGATGGCTATTGAATGGATAAAATTGTTGATTGAAACCATTGGTAAAATCTAATTCTTCCATACGGTTATTACTGCTACTACGATTACGGCTATGTGGACGATAACGTGTTTCGGATTCCATATCTTCTAAACGTTCTAATTGATGTCCACCATATGATTCATCACCATTATCATTATTATTAATATAACGACCAAATGAATGAACACTGGCACTTGATTTTGGATAAATCTGATGATTTTGTTTCATTGTAGATGTCGATGATGATGATGATGTTAATGATTTTGTTGTTTTTGGTTTATTTATCATTGCTGCTGTTGCTGCTGCTGCTGTAGGTGGTGTAGATAACATTTGTGCTAAAAATGGATCAATCGATGATGGATTTGGATCGATATTCGGTTTATTATACAATACAATTGTAGCTGTATTTGATTCATTTGTCGTTGTCGTTGTAGCGGTATCATTTATTTGTACGCTGTTGTTGTTATCAACCGGATTCAATGATGATGGATCACAATCATCTAATGGTAATATTTCTGAAATATCTGTATCTGATTGATCAGATTCATAATAATTAAATCCTGTCATCAATTTTTGTTGTTTTGGTTGATCTTTGTTGTTACGCTTGATGTCATTTTTATTATATGTACGTTGATCAAAACCATTGTCAATTTCATCATCATTGCTAGTATTTGATTTCATTTCTGAATGTTGTGTAATTTTCATTTTTGGTAATGTTCGAGATTGTGCCTGCTGTTGTTGTTGTTGTTGTTGATTGTTTCGTACCTGAAATGTATGATGAATAGTTGACATTGATTGTTGACCATCACCATTATCACGATTATAAGTTTTCATCACCGATAAATTTCGATTATGATGACGATGTTGATGATGATGATGATAACCACCACCATCAGCCGTACTTAATGATGATGATGAATCTTTAACTTCGGATAAATCTTCATCATCGTCATCATAATTATTATCCATACAAGATTGAACTAATGAATGAATTTCTTTGGCACAATTTGATGCTGCTTTTGCAACTAATAAATCCTGGCTATTTGTATTACGTATTGGTACATTATCTATATCGATATCAGAGATTTCTGAATCAATACTAGCCGAACTTTGTGACATTAATGAATGATGATCAATAATCGATGGTGGTTTTGTATTATCCAATAAACTATGTATACTACGATCATCAAATGAACCAGTATCTGATTGATCACCATTATTACCACTAATGTTGATTGGTTGTAATTGTTGCTGCTGCTGCTGTGGTCGTGGTTGTTGTTGTTGTTGTTGATTGTTTTTATTCTGAATTGTAGTACGTGTAGTTGGTATTGGAATCATTTTAGTTTTATTTGCCGGGCTAGTACGATTGGTGACTGAAGTTGTTGTCGTTGTATTTTCACGTTTAGGTTTTCTTGGTGAATTTTTCGTCGATATTATGGGCTGTTGTTGTAGTTGTTGTTGTTGCTGCTGCTGCTGTTGACATTGACTTGATTGACCATCTGCTGATTGTCTTTGTGGATATAAAAATGATGACTGACATTGTGCTAGAAAAACAAAAAAAAAATGATTTTTTTTAAATTCAAAAAAAACAACAACAAACAACAAACCTTGTGTACATATTGTATAGGTTTTTTCATCATCATCATCCTCATAATTATGGTGATGATGGTGGTGGTGGTGATGTTGATGATTATCAGCCATTCGATTAGAACGATTCGATAATAATTGAGTATTTTGCATATTTGATTGTGCCAAATTAATAAATGTCGTTGGCTGTCTGAAATTATGATGATGATTTTTCGGTAATGAAATAATATGACTATGACTACTACTGCCATCCTGCTGTTGTATTACGGTTGTCTTGGTAACATTGTTTTTCGTTGACAGATTTTTTTGACGATGAGCCATCGATGATGATGACAATGCTGGTGTTGTTGAAACTACAGACGACAATAATGATGAACGTGGTCCACCTTTTGTCATTGCAGTTTTTGTTGTTGTCACAGCAACATTATGTCCAGATGATGATGATGATGATGAAGTATTAACATTTGAATCAATACCAAGTTTAATAACAGCATCCAATAATTGATAATCATCAACGTCATCATCACGAAGAATAACACTAATAGGGACTTTTTTCAATGATGATGATGATGATGATGGTTCTGTCAACAATTCTGTTGTAGGAGGGTGTGGTTCTTTATTATTTTCCCGATTATTATTGTTGTTGATGGTAGGATTCGGTGCAATCATTACCGTAGCTGTAGCGGTTTCATTATTATTATTATTATTACCGATTCCATTATCTGAATCAAATGATAGGGATGATAATGATGAATGACATTCAGAGAATTGAATCGGTGTATCTTCCACAAAGAATTGTCTACGTTGATCACCACCACCACCACCACCACCGCCAACTGATTGTGCACCAGATGATGGCATGTCGATCATCATTGATTGTTTTGTTGAAATTGACGATTTATTACGCAATAATGGCGATTGTTGCTGTGATGATGACAATGATAATGTTGTAGATTGTTGACCACTACTACTGTTATTGTGATGATTCATCATCATCATCGTTGTTGGTAATTGTGGTGAATTTTTATTTGATGTACATTGTTGTTTAACCGAACGTGGTGATGATTTATGGCTATATAATGATCGTGAATTGCCTGAATTTTTATTATGACTAACATTTGAATTTGTGGCCGTTGTTGCAATCGCTGGTGATAATGTCGATGATGATGATGAATGTGCATTAGATTTCTTCTTTGTTGGCAATGCAAATTCAATACATTTCTTTAAAATTTGTTCATCTTCATCATCATCATCATCTGATTCAGATTTTATTTCATTCTTCATAATTATCGATGACGATGATGATTGTTTTTGTTTTTGGTCTTCATTTTTCTTTCGGATTTCATCTTTTTCATTTTTACATTTTTCTAGATTTTTATCAACGTCAATAGTTTCATTTTTATTTTGTTTCTCATCATTATCATCGATGGATTGTTCAACATTTGATGTGATTAAAACATTAATTGCTGATGATGGTTCAACAATGATGGATTGTTCATCATCATCGACATCTAATGAACTAAGACTTGTTGCATGTGAAAAAATGGCTGGTGTATCTTCGGTTTCAAATTTGATGGCCACATCACCATCATTAAAATATTCGCCATCCGTTTTCTCAATATTTCCATTCATTGATGATTTTGTGTTATTGGTGGTGGTGGTCCATTGTGTATTATTGTTATTTTTATCCGTTTTAATTGTTTGGTTTTCGACAACATTCGTTGGTTTCGGTGGTAACATTGGTTTCTCAACATTTGATTCTTGCATTGTTGATGATTTGGTTGAAGAAATACGTGATACATTACGATTCAATTTTATCGTTGATGTTATATTTATTGGCGATAGATTGTTGTTGTTATTGGTCACAATTTTTGTTGTTTTACCATCATCATCATTATCATGATGATGACTAGAAGAATTCGTTGCTTTCAATGATGATGATGATGATTTTAGCTTCGTTGTTTTCTTTGGTTCATCAACAATTTGTTCATTTTCACGTTCATCTTCATAAATTGATTTCAAATCAATTTCATGTAAATCTGATAATGATGGTGCTAGACTAAATGCCAATGGTGTACCTTCGGTTTCATAGATTTTCACTGAATCTTCAGCCACTGATTCTGATGTTGTTTTTCCGCTTCTATTACGATTTGAATGATGATGATGTCGATGACCATGATTCAATTCATGTCCATCTTCATCGTCTTTATAACGTTCACTAAAATCTGTTATTTCATCCATTGAAATTGTTGTATAATCAAGTTCATCATCATCATCATTATCATCATCGTCATCATCATTATTCATGGTTGTCATTAATAATTTCATGATCATGATGAATGAATGATTTTCCATTACAATCAGCATTATTTATTGATGTTTGATTAATTTGTGGAATTTGGCACTTTACATCTCCCGAATAGATATCATAATCAGAAGAAATACCATCTGAAATTATAAAATGATTATTATCACAGCTAATTCGAGATGTTGTCGTTGATGGACTTTGACATTTTCGATTAACATTACATAATGATTTTGTAGTAAACGATCCATTTGATTTATTGATTGAATGATGATGATGATGATGATATGTGGGTAGAAATGAATCTGGTGTCGATTTGGTCATAATAATTGTTTGACCATTTAATTGATTATTTCTGATACTATCATGACTTGTTGATCGTGGAAATCTTGTTTTTGTTGTTGTGGTTGAACCAAAATTAAATGATTTACTCAAATCGACTGGCAATTCATCATCATCATCATCAACATGATGATGATGATTATTTGATGATAGATTGGATATTTCATTTTTAATTGCTTTAATTTTTCTCATTGGAAATGATGATATTGATAATGATGTTGATAATTTGTTGTGATGATGTTGTTGTTGATTATGATTTGGTCCATTACCACCACCATCAACATTATTAAATGTTGAATGTATTAGATATGCTTGTGATGTGACCAGATGTTTATATGTAGCCATTGCTCCAATACGTATTGTACGATGTTTTGAATAAAATAGTTTGGCCAATTTTGTTATAGCATTCGATTCAATCATTAAAATTTGATCATTACTTGATTCTTCTGTTTGTAATGTGAATACAGAAAGATTTGATAATGTGACACAAGCATTACTAACAATGTCCAATGATGATGATTCCAAATGATTCAGTAACATTACAATTACATTATGTTTACGTAATATTTGTCGATATCGTTCTTCCATTGCTAGATATGATGATATATTACGAAGAATACGACCACTTGCTTCAACGACAGAAATGGATATTTTACAATTTTTATTTTCATCACCATTTTTTGATTGTTTACGATTTCCATTATCAACAGATGATTTATTTATCATTGTTTTATCATCATTAACATTGCCATTGCTATCTGCGGATAATTTCATTGATTTAATTAAAAATTCTAACGCACCATTAACACGACAAAAATCAGCTTTATTCTGTGGTGAACTAGCCGTTAGATTACCCAATGCTGATAATAAACATTTAATAGTGGATTCTTTTTTTACATTCAACATTGTCTATGAAAACGATTACATAAATGAATGGTAATCATTAGAAAATTTCCCAAAAAAAAAACAAACTTACAGTCGTTAAATGTGTTACGGTTTTCAAATCACGCATTGTTTGCATACTAATATAATTAGTATCCCAACTTAGATTCTGTATTACTTTGGCAATCGCTTCTATAAGATCTTCATTGGATAGTGATAATAATTCAATTAAAACAAGCAAAAATGATTTCTTTGATCCAAGCAATGATTTCACTTGTGGATTATTATAAGTAACATGTGTCAATATCATTAATGAATATAAACGTATTCGATAACAATCTTCATTTGGATTTGAATCACCACCATGGCATTTATAATCAATTTTTATTACCTGTGAAGAGAAAAAGAAATTACAAGTGAATTAAAATGTTTTTTTTTCTCACACATTGGTTTACCTCAGAAATGATAAAAACACCACCGAAAAATTCAATCAATTCAATTGATTGTTTTTCCGTACACATACGATAGAGATCAATGATTAGATTACATGGATGATCAACTGATTCAACAGTGGTGGAATCAGAACGATGTTCCAGGAATTTTTTCAATAAAATTTCAACAAATGCTTTGAGATCTACAAGAATTTTTAATATTTTCAATTCTTTACGATTACGTTTCGTATGTTGAATGATATTATTCAACGCTTGTACTAGATTTCGATGTATCAACGATTGTCGTTGTAATTGTTGTAAATCTACATCATCTTGGTCATCGATTGATTTTTGATTTATTAAACGTATCAACATTGGCACATAACCACAATCACGCATTTCTTGACATAATAATGGTGATTCAGACATGAAACATAATTTTTTAGCAAATTCTTCCAATGATGATAGTTTCATCATTTCTAATAATGAAGATAACATTTCAGAATTTTTTTTCTGTTTTTTATCATCATCACCATCATCGTCGTCATTACGTAATGTATCATCAGAGATTGTTGTTGCCGTTGTTGTTGTTGTTGTTGATGATGAATCAATCGATGAAACCATTGTTGATGCAGATGATAAGGATGATGAAATGCCTGAATCGATACGTTTTTGTTGTTTCATTGTTCTTGTTGTTGATGATGAAGATTTTAGTTCTTGTTCATCATGATCATGATCATCATCATCATCATGATTATTATTTTTAATCATTTTTGTTGATTGATCTTGATCATGATCTTGGTCATCATCATCATTTGTTTTTGTTTTTGTTTTCATGTTTGATTTATTGTTACTAGAAACCGAAAATCACAAATTGATAAGATGAGCAATGAGAAAAAAGAATGAAACAAAAACATGGAAAAAAATGAAGGCACAAAATAAACAAACCAAAAAAATGAAAAGAAAATGTGCAAAATGAGCAAAATGAGAATGAATCCAGATGAACACACCACACACACACACACACACAAACACACGGTAATCGGTAAGGTCTTTTGTATCGTCTCACATTCAACAAAAACACTTGTAGTGGTCTTAGAAAGTAAAATAAAATGTCTGTCTGTGTGTGTGTGTGTGTGTATGTCTTTGGTTGGTTGGTTGGTTTGTTGGTGGTAGATTTTATTATGATATCAATGATGATGATGATGATGATAAACAGGTCCAAGTTCGTTGGATTTTTTTTCCTTCTTTCGTCGTCGTTTTTTCTTCCAGATGGGATCGATCAAAATTTTTCGTTTTCGTTCATATTGTGCATGAATGTTTTTTGTTTTTGTTTGTTTGTTTGTTTATTTATCTATCTGTCTGGTAAACAATTTTGATTATCTAAACATTTTTCCATCATCATCATCATCATCATCATCATTTGTTGTTGTTGTTGTTTTTATTTGTGATTCCATCGACAATATAGCATCATTTTTTTTTATTTTCTATATTGCGGCATAAATGTGCCTGTATAATATGAAGTAAATTAAACTTTTTTTCGTCGTCTTCTTCTGGGGAGTAATTGTCTGCAAATACACATTCAAACAGTCCAGCAAAATAAAGTGTAAAGCCGAAATACTGCTGTGAATCGCGGATTACTCGCGGTAATCGTGTAAAACAAAGTTTTCGATTATTGGATTTGTTCAATGTTTAACATTTTCATTTTTGTTTGGACACACATTAAACTTTTTTTCGTCGTCTTCTTCTTCTTCTTCTTCTTCTGGGGAAATACACACAATTTAATCTGATATATCATAGGAAATATTTATATAACCAAAAAAAAAATTCATATAGCACACATTTGGCCAACTTTACTGCCGTTGTTGTTGTCGTTGTTGTTTATTTGCGTCTGTCGCATACATTGGATCATATATATAATAATAATAATTTGAGAGTCGACGCGTATTTCAATAAGGGTAACCAATGAATGAAAATAAAAATTCCAAAAAAAAAAAAAAATCTGTTTACGCATCCATTCCGATTTATCATGGATAAGATAAATGAAAGTAATGAAATGAATTGATACTCTGTGTGTGTGTGTGTGTGTGTGTGAATCTTGATTATTGACTGATAAAATGATTTTTCTATGACGACGTTGGCCATTGTAAGTAGTTTTTCATATATATATGTGTGTGATAAATCTTAACATCTTTTATAACCTAAATATTACTGTAAAAATTTTTAAATTTTCCAATCAAATTCGGTAATGGCCAATAGATGGCGATCGATACAGTGAAAAGGCGTTTTGAGTAAGTCTGGTGTTTTGATTTGTTGTCATCATCATCATCGTCATTTTTTTACTGATTTTTTTTCTTCTTAATTTGATTTTTGTTTTGTAGAACCATATTCATTCCTAAAAAAAATGGCACTTACACGTGGTAAATTAATTGCCGTTATTGGTGATGAAGTAAGCTGATTAATATTAACATGAAATCAAATTTTGATGATTTTTTTTTTTTTTTTTCGAATAGGATACATGTGTTGGATTTCTATTTGGTGGTATTGGAGAAGTGAATCGCAGTAAAACACCATCACATAATTTTCTTGTTGTCGAAAAGAATACATTGCCTTCGGAAATTGAGGCAACATTCCAAGCATTCGTTAAACGTGATGATATCGATATCATTTTGATCAATCAAAATATCGCTGAAATGATTCGTCATGTGATTGATGCACATACGGCACCAATACCGGCCATATTGGAAATACCATCCAAAGATCAGCCATATGATCCACAAAAAGATTCCATTTTACGTCGTGCAAAAGGTCTTTATTCAGCTGATGAATATCGATGAACTTACACACACACACACACACTATTATTCACACATGCTAGTCGCTATTTATGATATCCAAGAAAGAGAGAATACATGATTTGTAGTACAAAATATAAAAATTTTTAATAATCAAGTTCAACAAAACTAAACGAATGAAAAAAAATTATACTTTAATCATCAATCAATTAATCTATGTGTCAATTATCATCATAATTGTTTTTTTTTTTTTGACTAGAAAGAAAAAAGTTTGAAAAAAATGCGAGAACAGATTCCGTTTTTTTCTTCGTTGTTGTTGTGTCGTTAAATGTATTCATTTATCATGTCCAAATGTTTAAATGTTTTCATTTTGAATTTTTCTTCAAAAAATAAAGTCAAATTCTAATAAGCATGTGTGTGTGTGTGTGTAACTTTGTTTTTTCTCTGTAAAATCGATTGATCCAATGTATCGATTTGTTCATCAATCAAATAAATGTATACGAATCCATTCACGTAGATCGGATGATGAACGTATCGATTCTAATACTGTTTGTAGATAAATACCATCATCAAATGATACGGCTTGATTGACTGGATCTTTAATCCATTGTATTAATTCATTTTCTGATCTTTCTTCTTGTTGATTATTATTATCATGGTTTAATCCACCATTCGAAATGACAATTGAATTATTATCATTCATCATTGATGTTGATGTTGATGATGAAATCAAATGATGATTATTGATGGTTGTTGTTGTTGTTGTTGTTCCATGAAATGCATTTTTCAATGCTTGTATCATTAATCGTATGCCGATTAGATAGATTTTTGGATAAACATTATATGTTTCATATGAAAAATAATGTTTCATCGTCGTTGATGGCATATCTTGTAATTTATATAATAACGTTTCATGTCCAAAAACATTATTATTATCATTCAATAATGGTTGCTGTAATGCATTAGTAGTAGTAGTAGTAGTAGTGGTCATTATTCCATTCGAATCATCATTATCATTATTATTGTTTGTTCTAAATGCATAAAGATCACCATCACGACAGACAAGATAGCCATTTGTGCCATAAACATAAATTTCATGTTTCGGTTGACAATTTAAATGATGGCCATTAAGCTGTATATTGGCAATAATTGGATCATCTTTAATTGCTGTCAATAATTTTGTTTGTTTATAATTTATAATTTTTGTTTTCATTGATCCATTATCATTATGGTGATCATTTTATTATTATTATTATTATTGCCATCAATCAATGGATGTAATTCCATTTGAAAATTGACAAAATCTTCTGTTGTATTGAAACGAATTGCTAGAAAAACAAAAAAAAAATCAATCAATCAATATATATATGCATGTGAGGGTCATTCATTTTTTATTCACAAACCATTTTGACTAAGCTGTTTAAAACAATGAATCATTCCATGTACACGATGTGCACGATAATCAGTTAGGAAACTAATTATGTCTATAATGTTTGTGCCATATAATGACAATAATCCACCTCCCATATGTTTATCCCAGATTATTGATTTTTCTTTATAAACTTAACGACAACAAATGAGATCAAAGAATTAGAGAAAAAAAAACAAATGGAAAAAATGAAAATGATATATATTATTATTATTATTACCAGAAATAACATCACACATAACTGTTGCATTTATTAGACGAATATGGCCAAGATAATTATCATCAATAATCAATCTACGCATTATATTGAATGTTGGTACGAAACGTAAACCAGTTAAAAATAATGTTATCAATGCCGGATAATTTGAAGCAGCTTTACGCATCCTTATGGTATCTTTCAATGAATGTGATGGTGGCCAATCACAAATAACATGTTTACCAATACCACATGCTTTCGATGCAATTTGATTATGATAATGTGGTGGACAAGCAGTGACAATCAATTGTACTGATGGCAATAATAATACTTTATCAATTATCGTTGAATAAAATGGTATTGAACGCATTCGACTCAGCTGTTGGGCATCATCCAGATTTGGTGACCAAATACCTTCAATACGGAAACCTTGTTCCTGTAGTTGATCGATCAACAAATGGGCCAATGTACCCGTGCCAAAAAAACCAACACCAGGCAACATTTTTTTCAGACTAATGTCGTTGTTTTTTTTTGTTGAAAATTTTAAAAATTACAATATTTTTTCAGTTGAAATTCAATTGAATTTTCGTTGTTGTTGTTGTTGGTGGTGGTGGTGGTGGTGGATTGAAGATTACGTTATCGTCATCATCATCTTTGATGTTGTCGTCGTAAAAGCAAAGCATAAAAAAAACGTTATCAACAAGTTTGTAAAAAAAAACTTTGCAATCATACACTAAACAACATATTATCCATTGAGATATTTTTTTTGACATTTCAATGATCTGTGTTTGTGTGTGTGTATAATGCAATCAATTTTTTTTCTGATGTTTTTAACATCATCATCATCATCATTATAACAACCAAAAACGAAAAAAAGAAAATCATAAAACACACACACGCACACTTATGACATTTCATCACCAATCAATCAACAGCAGCAGCAGCAGCAGCATGTTTTTTTTTACTTGTTGCTTGTATTTATTGAAATAATGACGATGAATGATTTTAATGATGATGATGATGATGATTGATTTGATTGATTTGATTGAACATGAACCACCGGAAAAAATGCAATTTTTTAACTGGAAATCAATTTGTTTTAGCAGAAACAAAACAAAACAAAACAAAAAAACACCAATGATGATTCTAATGGCACAAACAAAGAAGAGAAAAATTTCGTCGTTTTTTTATCGTTTAGTTTAGTTTTATTTTCGGTCAAATCTTGTTGTCATTATTATTGGTGGTAAAATTCAATAATCACTGTCATAATTTGTTTTTTTTCTTGTAATCGTATTGACATGAATTTTTCATCACCATCATCATGGTTGAATTCTAAACACAATGATGATGATGATAGTGGATGGGCAATCGTTTTTTCATTTAATGTTTTTTTTCGTCGATGATGATGATGATGATGATGAAAAAATCAACAAAAAAAAATCAGCATGACACACACACACAGAGAGAGAGAGAGAGATACAACACACCCACAACCAATCAAATATTCGTCGTCGTCGTCGTCGTCAAAGTGATTTTTATGTGTTTTGTTTACAACAGTTATTCACACACACATGAAATGAATGCTCACCATTTTTTTTTCGGTTCATTTCGGGATTGAATGATGAAACAACGGCATACCAACACAAAACAACCGTAAAGTATATGAAGAATAATGTTGAACTAGCAGTAAACAAATTTCGGGATATAATAATCATCATGATGATGATGATGATGATGATGATGATCATCATCAATATTTATCCGCACGCGCCGTGTTTATTTTTTTTTACAACAGATCGATGATGTTTTTCTTTCATTTTTTTTTTTAGTTCAATATTCATATATATAGAAAAATTTAATGTGCACATGCACACACACACACACACAGACATTGACGAAAAAGATAACTGTGTGTGTGTGTGTGTGTGTATTTGTGTTTCGAGGACGATGATGTGATGGAGAATAGATTCACATTTTGAATTTCAAATTGGCGCCCAAAATGAAATTTGTTGTTTAGCCAGGATGTGAAAATCAACACAAAAAAAACCACACAAAACAACAGAAAAAATCTTGTGACAGGATGTTGATATCAATGATTAATTAATCAATCGATCGATTAGTAAACACAAAGCACAAATGCACACACCGATCATTTCCATGGCCATCATCATGAACATCTTTTTTTCTAATGGCATTCATGAATTGACCGATAAATAAAACAAAACAGCAGCAGCAGCAGCAATAAAAAGAAATGGAGGAAAAAAAACACGAAAAACACTTCTCTTTCACCTCATCATCATCATCATCATCATCATCATTGTTGTTGTCGTTTAGTGACGCTTGGCAGAAATTATTTTTTTTTTAATTTCGAATGTTTGTCATACACATTCTCAAAACACACGAAACAAAAAGTCAAAAAAAAATGGAGTCAAACAAACACCTGGAAATGTGTGTGTGTGTGTGTGTGTGTGTGTGTGTTTCATTTAATTTCGTTTCGTTTCGTTTCGTTTTGTATCGTACAGAACGACAAACATATCTTGCTTGTTGCTCTTGATGTATATGTAAGTCATTTATATTCATTTTCTTCTCTCTCATCTCTCTCTCTCTCTATTCGTTTGACTATCTAAAAGATTCATTTAGATTTCAAAGTCAATGTCAATAACGCAAATGGCAGAAAAAAAAAAGAAAACAAAAATTCAAGAATAAACACAATCATCATCACTAGGATATTTGAAATGTTGTTGATGATGATGATGATGATGATGATGATGATGATGATGCAATTAAATTACAAAATTTGAGATAATTTTTTTCGTATTTTCAACAACATTCATTTGATTTTTTTTGGGTGCTATAAATCAATCAAAAAAAGAAAAGAAAAAAGATTTTCTAATCGAAAATTCAAAATCAACCCAATAGAACCACCAATCAACCAGCCAGCCAACCAACCAACCAGCCAAACATAAACATCATTATCGGTCGATTGATTCACGATAAGTTGAAGCTCATTTGAATTCATCCATTTATTAAACAATTTATTCATTTCAGTGTTCGAAAAAAAAACAAAACAAAACAAAAAAAAAAATTTGCATGGCTAGGCGATCTAATTACTGTTTTTCTTTTTCTTTTTCTTTTTGTGCCCAACACGGAAATTTGGCCAACCATTCAAAACAATGACAATGGTTGCCTATACTGCTACTGCTACCCACTATATGACGACAACAACGGTGATGAATTCTTTTCTTTGCAAATAATGAAAAAAATATCTAAATAAATAGCCAATAAAATGAGATTCATGCATGAAAGAAAAAAACAGTTATAGCTAGTTTATTAGTCATCAAGTCAAGTTGGATTTTTTGTATTTTCTTTTTCTTGTTTTCACAAGAAAATGATCATCGAAGTATGGAAAAATGATAAAAACAAGAGAGAAAGAAACTGTTATTGTCATCGTTGGAATGTTGGTTGGTGATAATCATCATCATCATCATAATCAACATTTAGAAAGACTGGACGAATGGCCAAGAAAAAAACAAAGACAAAAAACAAAACAATGAACTAAATGAAAGAATGATTAAAATACAGACAGACCAAGTCAGTCAGTCAGTCAGTCAGTCATTCGACTTTGACACATTGGTAGAAATGAACTTTGACTTTTTGTCATTATCATTGTGAATGATGATTTGAATATCGAACGTTTTTGTTTCGTTTGTTCATCACACAAATTTCCACACAATTTGAAACATAATCCAAACGATGATGATGATGTGATTTATTTACAAAATTCGCCGAAAATATGTTTTTTTTTCTACACACACACAGGAAACACGCACAAATTACACGAAATGGTACAAAAAGAATATTTCGGAGATGGAATGAAAGAACAAAATATATGAGCCGTTGCAAAAAAAAATACCTGGAGAACAAATTGAATTCACGAGAAAAAAAACGTAATCAAAACAAAAGTAAAAACAAAAATGTTTTCATCGTTTTGAATATCTGTGTGTGGGTGATATTTGGATAAAATAGAAATCTCACCTAAAATGATGGTGTTTGGAAAAGTAGAAGGGATACAAACACACACACATTCCAGCCAAAAAAAAAAATTACCGAGATGAATGGAACACACACATCGAAAACACCGATGATAAAGACACAAAAAAAACATAACGAACATTTCGCTAGAATCACAAAATTTTTTTTTTTTTTTTGTAAATATAAATCACACGTAAAACACACAAATACGAAATTTGATTTATTGAAAAAATTTCCACAATGACCAAAATGAAAAGAACCGAAATGTAATTGGCTATTTTCTTTGGAAATCTTATTCAACGGAAATGATAATGATTATGTGTTTGAGATAATAAGATAGCAAGATATCACTGTATCATTGGTATCAGTGCATTGTATAAAATTGGCTTTTTCAAATTATATTCTATTCAACTTTTTTTCTATATACTTTTCATCATATATGAAGCGAACCCACAACATTTTTCACAACAAATGTGTAGTTACACTGTTGGATACTACCACTACCAAAAAAAATTTTTTTTTTTTAGACAAAATCGATTATTTTGGTTGATTGTGTAATGTGTGAATATCACAGAGAGAAATAAGCTCGCGCGCGCGAAATTGAATGTGCACGTTCAACAAGTAGTGGTACAACGAGTTGAGCAAGCTATTGCTGAATAATATATTTGTTTTTTTCTGATTGTTTTGTCTGTTGTTGGGTCGGTCGGTGCACTCACGAAAAAATCATCATACCACATTTTCGTTGTTGTTAACAAAAAATTCCATCACACAAGACCAAAAAAAAGAAAACGACCATATTTTTTCATCATCATCATCATCGAATGCTTTGTTCGACCAGAGAACTTTATGTTTTTTCGATTTTTTTCACATAAAATTTGTCTTGACTTTTGAGTAAAAATTCTTTCGAATCTGATTTTAAATTGAAACCAAAATTTCCATCATCTGAATCACTAGTCGAATTCGAAAATCATAAATGTTTCGAATGATTTGATCTCATTGAAAACAGCAACATAAAACAAAAATGAAAAAAAACGACGAACATGGCATTAGTGAATCGTTTTGAACAGGAAGATCCGCCAACATTATTGATACAGCCAAATCAGTTTATTTCATCAACAACATCGACATCAAAATTAACATCATCATCATCATTACTATTATCATCATCGGCATCATCATTGACATCATCAATATTTGGAACAAATCTAAATCTAAATAATTTATCTAACGAGACGAAATACTATCTATTTGGTACATTTACAATTTGTACATGGACATATTCATCTGATCCAAACAATATGGATGATGATGATGATGATGGTGAAAACAAAGATGAAGACGGCAACAACAATGGTGGCGGCGGTGACAACAACGATGATTGTAAATATAGTAAAGATGAGAATAAATATCGAATTCCAACCACACCATGTCGTTGTGTTATGTATCGTAATAATTTATTGGAACATTTATTGACATTTTTGGATAGAAAAAAGAATGAAAAAAATGATAATGAAGATTTAGAAGAAGAAGAAAATGATGATGATGCGGATAATTATAAATCTATTTTCAAAGTAAAATGTGATCTTTGTTCACATTCATTAGGTAAGTATATTTGGATTTGATTTATGCCGGTGATTGTAATAATTTTTCATTCATTATTTTTACAGATCAACATTTGCAATATTTTCGTTCATCTAAACCATCATTATTCGATGGCAATAATATAGCTATATTGGATGATTATCTTTATAAAGCTGTCGATAGTTTCCATTTGATGTGTCTGTATAGTCAAGCAACTTTATTCCAGAAACGGCCATTATTCACTATTTATAATCTAATCAATGGCTATCTATGCAATTATGTTGATGTTGAATATAATTATCGCCAGCCACCATTTGAAATGCCCACTATTGAACAATTATTGAATTCGATCGCTAATAATAATAATAATAATCATGTTGTTGGTGAAAATATGACCGTACGGAAATATTCTGAAATTTTTCTTCGCCTGTTTGATCGTCATAAATTCCAATCAATCAGTATTGATCGTACCCAAGAACAATCGGAACAGTTGAAAATATTTAAAGAATTATTTCTGGTATTTTGTTTGCTGCCACGAACGATTAAATCGTGAGTTTTTTTTGTTTGTTTTGTTCATGATTTTAACAGATTTTTAATCAATTTTTTTCGTTCATAGACTAAAAGAATATCGACCATCAGAAATATTTGGCCGTTCACATTTATTATCAATAATCGATATTTTACGTCAAGATTTTGATAAACACATCCACATTGATGATGAAAATTATCAAATATTTCGCAATCTAATCATTACTGAATGTCCATTCATAACGGATTCAGATAATATGAATTCAAATTCATCTAATGCAGCTAATCAAATTAACGTTACGCCATCTATGGATGATCGAAGATCTAAATCACCTCATAATTCTTCAATAACATCGTCAAGATTACGTCGTCATAGTTTAGATTATATACTGACTGATGGTATTCGTGTTTGCGATGTAGAACGTTTATATCAACATCAGAATGAAATATTTGATCGTTGTAGCTGTGTACGTACTATAACATTTGGATCGCCATCGATTGTTGGCGGTGGTGGTGGTGGTGACGATTCAGCAGCTATACGTAATGAAGATTTAATATTTATTCGAATTGATCCATTAACATTTGAACCTGCTAATGCTTTAATGGAAATCAAACATTTTATTGTACGTAGTGCTGCTATATTAATCAATGATCGTCTAAAACGAATGGGTTCGATGAATGTACGGGATAAATTATTCTCAGATAATGTTACAACATTAGTATTGATACATAGACCAACTGGTCGTTTATTAGCAGTGTTGACATATGATTTTCGTCCAATAGAAAATCTTGGTGAATTAATATTCTTGGTTGTTAGGCCTAAATATCAACGTCGTGGTTATGGTTCAATGTTATTATCAATAATGTCAAAAATAATTATACCGAATTGCGCTGAATATGCTGTACATGCTGATTTAGGTGCCATTGAATTCTATAGACGTATTGGTTTTGTTCAAGAAATGAATACAAAAGAAATTCAACGTTTAGAACGATTTATGGGCCAATATACTGGTTCAATATTGATGCGTGTTAATCGTACGACAATGATAGAGAAACTGCGTAATTTAACATTAACATCGGTTGAATTAATCACGCTTGACGATATTCAACCAACAAGATCGCATTGTCCAATTCATATTGGTCTAAAATCGACAACATTACAACATCATCCTGGTGAGAATAATAATAATAATAATAATAATAATAATAGTAAATTAAATGAAATTACTGATGAAGAATTACGAACATTTCATCATACAATACGTGAACATTTTGCACCATTAATGGTGGCCACACAAAATGATCGTGATTCATTGGCCGAATCACGTGGTTTTGTTAAACGTTTTTTTAATGATTATAATAATTTATTTTCATTGAAAGAATATAATCCTGATTTAATGAATATCGATCTATTACGTATACTGTATTATCGTTTATTATGGTTTATTGCACACTGCCAATGGAAATATAGACGTGATGATAAATTGACTATTGCAAGAAAAGCTGAATGTCATTTGAAACGTTTAATGGTATTTAAATTTGGTATTGAAGAAATGTTTTGAACATAATGGAAAAAAATATATATATAATTCATATTCATATTTGTTGTGATCTCACTTGGTCTTTTATTTTTATTTTTTTTTGCTTCGAAACTGGTCCAGCATTTTTGTTTTGATATCACCACCTTGAATTCAATTTACAAGTTTTATTTCATATTCATCATCATCATCACCATTCCGTTCTATTCATTCATACATACATGATCTATCTAATAATAATGATAAAGATGTGTTCATTTTTGCCATATTTTTATTCTCCATTCATTCATTCATTCACTTTTTTTTCACTTTCTTTCTTTTCTCTTTTTTTTCTTGATATATTGAAATAAAAGCTCAAATCATTTTTTTTCAACCATTACCAGATTGAGTTGAAAGTTTTGTGGTTGTTGTTGTTGTTGTCGTTGTTGTTTGTTGTTGTTATCGTTCATCATCACCCAATCATCGATCAATTCAATGGATGATGAACATTGAAACATTAAACAGAATGAAAATGAATGATTTTGATTTTCTTCTGATTACACACACACACATTATCAATATTGAAAAAGTGGAATGACGGAAAAAAATAAAAATCACAAGATTCGAATGTGTGATATATTTATACATTCGTTCGTTGTGTATATTTATCATCATCATCATCATCATCAACAACATAATATTTGGTTGCTACGCATATTGAGCTTTGCTCAATCAATGAATCAATCATTTGAAATTAGATTCAAGTTTGTTGATGATGTGATGATTTTGTTTGTTTTCGTGTTATATAGACATGTTTAAATGTCGACCACAGTCAGCCGATGAATGTCATTTTCAATTTCAATTGAGCAGAAAATTTTTTTGTGTGCGTGTTTAAAAAAAAAATAATAAACAACAAAGATGCTTCGTCATCATAACCGTTATCGATTCATGATCGGTGCAATTCTTCTTGTTGTACAATGGTCAATCCATGTTTGTCAATCGCAGGAAATATTGGAATTTGAAAAACGTAACCATATTCCTGATGATGAATTTGATTTTCTTTCCGATGATTATATTGATTTTATCAATAAACAATTGAATACAAGTTGGCGTGCTGGCCGTAATTTTGATTCAGATGCATCAAAAATTTATATTCAAGGTTTAATGGGTACATTGCCAACACCGGAACATTTAAAATTACCTAAATTATATCATCGTATCGATGATGATGAACGTTTACCTGATGAATTTGATTCACGTAAAAAATGGCCAAAATGTAAAACAATAAATGAAATACGTGATCAAGGTCCTTGTGGTTCGTGTTGGGCATTCGGTGCTGCTGAAGCAATGTCTGATCGTGTTTGTATCGGTAGTAATGGTAGAATCAATGTGGAATTATCACCAGAAGATTTAGTTTCGTGTTGTCATGATTGTGGTGCCGGTTGTAATGGTGGTTTTCCAGCTGCAGCATGGAGCTATTTTGTACATAATGGTTTAGTTAGTGGTGGTCTTTATGGTAATCATCATACCTGTCAACCATATGTGTTTGCACCATGTGAACATCATATGAAAGGTAAAAGGCCACCTTGTTCGGATATTCAGCCAACACCAAAATGTCAAAATAAATGTGACAAATTCTATAATCATACATACAATGATGATAAACATTATGGACGTAAAGCATATTCACTTACATCGAATCCTGAACATATTATGAAAGATATCATGGTCAATGGTCCAGTTGAAGCAGATTTCAGTGTTTATGAGGATTTTCTTCAATACAAATCCGGTGTTTATCAAAGACATAGCCATAAATTTTTAGGTGGCCATGCAATACGTATATTAGGATGGGGTATAGACGCTAATAGCAAACTACCATATTGGCTTTGTGCCAATTCATGGAATACTGATTGGGGTGAAGCTGGTTTTTTCCGTATGTTACGTGGCCACAATGAATGCGATATTGAAGAAGACATTAATGCTGGTATTGCACGGATTTCGAAATTTTGAATTTTATTCTTTTTTGTTTCTGGCCACAAAACTCTCTATCACACACACAAAGAATTGACAGCATTGTTTTTAATGAAAACTAAAAAACAAAAATTTATTTTTATTCCAAAAGATAAAAAAAATAACAAATGTGAAAAGTTTAAATAAAAACAATTTTTGATTCAAATAAAACCAAAACAAGAGAAAAAACGAGAGAAAACAACACAAATTTTGATGACAATAACTGGAATTTTGATGAATGTAAAATCAGGAAAAAAAATTTTCAACAAAAATTGCAAAATAAAATGAAAATTATGGAAAACGGCATTTTTTTGTCGTTGGTTTTTTTTTGATTTTTAAATCGCTCAGAAGGCTGATTATACTGTTGAAAAAAAAGTTGATTTTGATTTTGATTTTGTCCAGCTATTCCGGCTGGACTCAGAAGGCTATTTTGATTGATTAATCAATTCTAAATTCTATGAAAAAAAAAGAAAATAAAATGGGAAAAAAAGTTGAATTTTGTAGAATTTACAAAAAAAGAATCGAAAAAAATTGAAAAAAAACACTATGACTACAAGAATTTCGAACGAAAAAAAAAATAAAACCAAAAAAAAAAAACAAAACGAAATGAAACTAACACACACACACACAAAGAAAAAAATGGCGACTTGGATCGAAAAAAAATACTCTAGAAAACTTTGAGCCTGGTTATATTATTGGTTTGGCCAAAAAAAAAAAAATTTTTTGGTTCCAGAACATTGTGTATAGAGATTCTTGATATTTTTTTTTTGGTTTGATATATATGTTGAAAACAGCAGCAGCAGCAGCAGCACAATCATATATACATACACACACACACACAGATACAAACATCCTTAGTTTGATTGGAGCGGATAGTTCCAGAAAAGGCGGAGCTTATTTCCAATGATATATATAAAATATGATGCAATTGATTTTGGTATTGTATTTATTTATTATAGTGTAGATTGTATTGATGATATTTTGTGATCATAATAGTAGAAGGTATTTTGGATTTTTTTTTTCGGCATGTGTCATTTCATTGAATCATTCGCATAGAGAATCTGGTTTTGAATCCCAAATAAAAATGAAAAATTTCGAATCGATCCATCATCCTAAATGATACATACATAATACAGATGAATGATGTGTTGTCAAAGTGTTAGGTTTGTATGCGTGGGTGTGTTTTTTTTTACCCCCTTTTTCATTCATTTGTTCACCCTAATAATGATAATAATAATAATAATAATAAAAGAGGTCAAGTCCACTATGTTTTTGTTTCATGAGAATTGATTTTCATGCAGCTGGCAGCATATTTTTATTCGTTCATTCTCAAATGACCAATGAATGGTTATCAAAAATAAAACACACATATATATACATAATCCAAACATGATGATGATGATCGTCATGACCTGAATGACCCTTACATTTCATATATTATTATTATTATTACCCGTTTGTTTGAAAATGAACGATTGGACACAGACCATTTGAATGAATGAATGAATGTGAGAGACAAACACGCGTATGACACACGAATATTTTGCTGGCACGTACAAACAACTGTTCAATGAAAACGTGTAGCACGAGCCAATCCTTTTTTTCTATCTAATACATAAAAAAAAAATTTTTGGTCAAAAATCTAGACCAACGGTCATCATTGTTTGTGTGTTGGTTGTAGGCCAAGTTTAATGGACTCGACTAATATTTCACAACACGCACACACGCCAACAACAATTACATTTGGATATATATTCGGTCAACAACAACGACAACAACATCTGGTTACGATGAAAGGATGAAACTTTAGTTCTAACAGAAAAACAACAATTTGGTCATCATGGTCAGAATTCTTTTTTTTTTTTTTTTCGGACGATGACAACGCCCACGTTAACCATGATTAAGTTGCAAGCAAACAAAAAAAACGAATTAAAATCTGATGATTTTTTCCCATTGTTTGTCGATGTTTTCGTGTTTGTTTGTTCATTGTGTTATTAAAAAAAATCACAAAAATGACTCTTAGGTTTTTTATTAATTCTCACATTTTAATCATCATTTTTCCATCGCACTACTCTCTCTGTGTGTGTGTGTGTGTGTGAATCATAATGGTTTTTATTTATCGGTCTGCCCGTCATCAACATCGTTATTATATTTGTTTGTTGCACGCGAACAGCTTTCCAGAAATTTTAGAAATGAGACTGAATAACAAAAAAAAAACATAAAATTCAAAATCTAGATATGAACAAAATAATAAACAACAACAACAACAACGACAACAACAACAAAAAAATCACTCCTACGCTTTTAATATTGGCACAAAAAAAATCTCAACGATGAAAATCTCTATCAAATGTTGTTGTTGTTGTTGTTGATTTTTCTGGGCACTATGCAGCCCCAAAAAAACATTTTCGATGACCAACGACTGTCCGACATCCATTGACCAACATTTCGGGTGGAAAAAAAACTTTACTTTGGAAATAAACAACATTATTATTATATTATCAAGTCGTCAACAACAATCTATTGTTATACACACACACACACACATAATCTTTCAATTCAAAAATGAATACTGTGATTGATTGGATTCAGATTTGAATCAATTTTTTTTTCATCACGGAAATAAATTGTGAATTGAATTATTGATCCTAAAATCTTATCGTCGTTGTTTGTTTGTTTGTTTGTTTCTACATACATACATATATACTCCCACACTCGGTCATACACAGATGGAAAAAACAACAACAACAACAACCTTGGACAATGGTGAAAAAACAACAACAACAACAACGACGACGACAACGAAATGGAAAAAAAATCTGGACCATATAGATTTGTGACCTAGAAAAATCAAAATGAAAACAATCAACAAAAAAAAACCCAATGGTAATTTGTAGAAAATGATTTTTTTTTTGTTTTCTCTGTCTATGATTAATGATGAAAATTTTATTCTGATTTAGTGCCAATTTTTTTTCGAAGGTGGTGGTAGGGGGAGATGAGAAAAATCCCAAATATGAAGATTGATCGATTCTTTTTCGGATTTTGGTCAAATTTCTGAAACAAAATCCAAAATGGGTTAATTCAAGAACAGCAACGAAAAAATTGCTCAAAGTAATTTGATATTTACAACAGCAATGAAACCAGCACTACCACCGCCAAATGCAGAATCATCCATCAAATGTAATGATAAAAAACAAAAATTCAATCATTCATTTTTTCACTTTCAATTTTCCATCTACGTTACGTGTTCATGTTTTTTCAAAAAAAAAAAAAAAAAAAACAAAATCAAAACGGATGTATGTTGCACACCCAATGATGATGATTATCATCACCCAAAATAGTCATGTTACACTCTCAAACACACACACACAAACTTTGTATTTTATCGGCTTTGTATTATATAACACCAAATGTTATGTTTTTTTTTTTTTTTACAATAACAACCAGAAAAAAACGATTATTATAGGCCTAGGACCCTGGTATATGTGTGTGTGTGTGTGTGTGTGTGTTGGACTAGGAGGGCCAGACTATTTCTGTATCTATGATGATGATTCATATGATGTGATTATTATGATGTAACACATGTGTGTATTGTGACCACAAACACATGAAATTTTTTTTTTTTCAAAAAAAAATTTTTTTTCATCTTTTTCAATCACACAAAATTCGGGTGTGGATCATCATCATCATTATGGTGACCTTTGTACCGAGGTTGTATATCATTATTATTATTATTAAGTAGTAGAGAAATGAAGCCACAACATTTGAAATTTTTTTTTTTTTTGCCCCAAACCAAATATGAAACAAGTGGTAGCCCTACCTGTGTGCGTGTGTGTGTGTGTGTTTGTCAATCTTTAAACACGAAACACTCACACACACACACACACACCTTAAAGAAAAATGGCTCGAAGAAAAATGAAAACCTGTTCTATGTGTACGATAGAACCACTACCATTTATTTATTCGTTGATGATTTTGTTGTTGTTGTTGTTGTTGTCCGTTAACGAGAATTTGTTTCATCTTTAAATTATTTTCATGGTTTTGTTTTTTTTCTGGTTGATTGTCGTTACTTGTTATATGTCGTCGTGGTATTTTCGTTTGAAAAGTCATCAAATTCATCAATAAAAATTGAAATTTAAAAACTGGATATTGTGTGTGTGTGTGTGTGTGTCCATGGGAAAAACTAAAAATGCCATCCGCTAAAATGACATGGATTATCGTTTAAATTTCCCGTTTGTGCAGGTGTGTGCAGGTGTAGGTGTAGGTGTAAGTGTGATATCTTCGAAATCATCTGAAATGAAATGAAAATTTGCTCATTTATCCAATTTAAACAAATCAAAAACTGATGGTGATGGTGAGTCATTCTCATCGCTAATTGATCGGCATCTTTCAAGGTAAATTTCAAAATGATGATTTTTTTTCTTTCTTTTTTAAATGATATTTTTCTACTGATGATAAACAATCGGTCATGACCGCGCTTATGTGTGTGTGTGTGTTTAGGTTCATTCGCCTTGTGTAATCATCATCATATCCTGACTATTATTGTCAATTTGGATTCATTCGACCAGATCCATATTTTTTAGTCTGTATTTGTTTGTGTGTGTGTGTGTGTGTGGTATTTAATATTGAAAAAAAGGTAACAAATGAAAACGAGAAAATTTCCGATACCATAACAACCAACAACAAACAATTCAATGGTTATTATACTGGATCAAACAAAACACAATCATTAGTAAGTAGAATATAATATTTAGGAATTTGAAAAAAAGAAATGAAAAATTTATTGTTTCTCACCATTTTTGTTTTGTTCAACGATGACCACACCTTTATTAGTTATTTATTTTCATCATTTTTTCCATTTTTTTTGAATAGATTTTGTCATTGCTCACTCATCCTATTGTCATCGTTTGTTTATTTATTTGTGTGTTTCAAATTGTCAATCGAATGTATCGCCAAACTATTGTTATTTGCCAAAACAAAACAAAACAAAACACCACCTGGCCACCACCATCTAAATTGTCAATAATTTATGCCAAAACAACAAACCGAAACAATTTATCAGTTGATATATATTGATTGATGCTGCCAGATCAAATTTGTTCTGTTGTGTATTGTGACAAAAAAGAATTTTCATCATCATCATCATTTCATTTACATTTCAAAAAAAACGTAACAGGTAAGTTTTGCTATTCATTTTCAATCGATTTTTATATCGTCGCCGTTTTTTTTTAAATTTTATTTAGATAATTTTCATTCGTAACAAAATAAAAACAAAAATGGCCAAATCAATCATCAAATCATCATCACCATCGTCATGTTTTTCTTCAATCATATTAGCGATAATATGGCTGATAGCCATCAATGGATACACATCATTTGCATATGAATTTAAATGTCCAAAAGATTGGATTGAATTCCGTGGAAATTGTTATCAATTCATTAGATCACCAACGAAAAATTATGAAGAAGCAAATGAACGTTGTTTTATTTATAATGCATATTTATTATCAGTGTTATCCACTGATGAACATCAATTCATCACCGATTGGCTCCGGCAAAATGATCCATTACATATGAGTTGGTATACATCAGCATTAGATACAGGAAATAATGCTTGGCGTTGGAATGTACCGGCTAATCGTTTAGGTGATTCTTCTGGTTCAAGCTCAATATTTGCCGCTACAAGCAATATTAATAATGATCTACAACAACAAACATCGATATCTATGAATAGCCCAATTATTAATCATCATCATCAGATATCAACAAATCATCGTGATCTTAAATATTATTCAGTAATTGCTGCATTATGGTTGCCAATACAGCAGCAACTTGATAATCAACAGCAATCACAGCAACAGCAGCAGCAACCGAATTTAATTGATCCATGGATCAATAATCAACAACGTATGAATGGAAAAAATGCTGTATATAATTTTTCACAAACATTAAATCGTTGGGGTTTACTACGAGTGAATGGAAATGAATATAATGCCTACATATGCAAATTACGTAAAGAAGATGTTAATTTTGCCAATGCAATTGAACGTAATATCGATTATGGTGTTAATGTTATTGATCCGGCAAAAATTCCACGTGGTCCACGTTTCATTCATGAACCAAAAGATGTTATATTCGATGTTAGTGGTCGTAGTCAATTGAATTATGCAACATTGAAATGTGTTGCAGATGGTTATCCAACACCGACATATAAATGGTTCAAAGAAGAATATATCGATAACCAGATACGTTCGAACCAGATTGATCCATTATCTGATCGTCGTTATACACAAACCGATGGTATATTGATCATTGATAATCCACAAACTGATCGTGATCGTGGTAAATATCATTGTATTGCTGAAAATCGTTTTGGATCAATCATATCGCAAACAGTTCAATTAACATTTGGTTATATTGGAGAGTTTACTAAAAAACGTTCACCTGATTATGGTCGTGAATATTGGGGAAAATCAATTTCATGTGATCCACCTAAACATCATATTTGTAAGGATTTGTTTTGTCTTGTTTTTTGATTGAAAATTATTATTATTTTTCCTTTAGCTGTCAGTTATCATTGGTCACGTGATTCATTTGAATACATTATCGAAGATGATCGTCGTACGTTCGTATCAAGAGATGGAAATCTTTATTTTTCTTCATTAGAAAAAATTGATCGTGCCAATTATTCTTGTAATGTAAAATCATCAATTGCATCAAGTGGACGTACTGGTCCATTCTTTCCATTGATTGTTGATTCAGCATCATCATCGCAGAAATTATTGTTTCCGAATCATTTTCCAAAAATTTTTCCAGAAATCAAATTAGCCGGTTCAGAAGTACGATTAGAATGTATGGCATATGGTTATCCGGTACCATATTATAATTGGACCAGAGAAGGTTTAACCACACAGATGCCTGAAGGACATTATCTTGCAAGTTTTAATCGTGTATTAATAATACCACAAGCAAAAGTTGAAGATAGTGGTGAATATGTTTGTACAGCGACATCTGGTAAAGATTCTTTGCCGAAAAGTGTACAATTATCAATACAATCATTACCGGTAATATTACAACATATTGGTAATAAAGTTGTTGAACGTGATCTTTCAGTATTGACATGGGAATGTCAAGCATTCGGCATACCATCTGTTAGTTATACATGGTATAAAAATGGTGTTGAAATATCCGATCGAAATAAAATGACCTATTTCTCTGAAGAAGATCGAAATCGTTATGAAGTACGTGGAAATATGCTCCTGATACATGGTTTGATTCCCGAACGTGATGAAGGAATGTATCAATGTCAAGCAACCAATGAACTTGGAACAGCATTCTCAAGTGGTCAGCTACGCATCGTACAGATGGCACCATCATTCCGTAAACATCCTATGCCCACTGAAATGTATGCCGCCGAAGGTGGAAATATAACAATACCTTGTGTACCCGAAGCATTACCAATACCGGCATTTGAATGGCAAAAAGATTGTATGATTAGAATTGATTTTTTTCCACATTTTATTCATTTTTTCTTTTCGTTACCACAGTCAATCGAATATTGATGGATGATAGAAAACGTGTATTGCCGAATGGATTCCTCACTATTTCGCCGGTACATCGTACCGATATGGGTGAATATACATGCATTGCACGGAATTCACTAGGAACTGATCGAACACGTGGTATTCTACGTGTATTTAATCGGCCAAAATTATACATTCGGCCAAATCCTGTTTATGATCTTAAAATTGGCCAATCTATTGAGCTACCATGTATGGCTATTACTGATCCACAATTGGATTTAGCATATAAATGGCAACATAATGGACTTAGAATCATTTTCGATAAAATGCCACAATATTCAATGGGTAAATTTCGGATGATTATTTCTTCATTGATACTCAATTTTTGTTATCATTTTCCATTTATTAGCTGGTATCGATGGAAATCTACGTATTAATAATCTTACATTGGCTGAAACAGGTGAATATGAATGTATAGTACAAACGACAGTTGGATCAACATCAGCTACTGCGAAAATACAATTATATGCTCATCCTGGAGCTCCGGGCGCCGTATTAGCCGATGATATAACCGCCACATCGGTTCGTCTTCATTGGAGTGATGGATCCGATAATGGTCGACAGATTGTTGGCTATCAAGTTGAAGGCATCACTAATCATGATAGCGGTTGGCAATGGTTAGCCAATTCAACAGAATTACTTAATCTATACACTAAAAGTCATGATAGTGGCCGTACAATGGTTTATCTACGTGATGTACTTTCGCCATGGTCAACGTATCGATTTCGTGTTTCCGCCATGAACATTATCGGTATGGGTCCACCATCAGAACCAAGTCCATCATATAATACAGAAAAAGCAGTACCATTTAAAGCACCAAGTAATGTTGGTGGTGGTGGTGGTAAAGCTGGTACATTGACCATTACATGGGATCCATTGCCACCGAAAGATTGGAACGCTCCTGACATCTGGTATCGAATTTTCTACAAGTAAGTCAATTGATTTTTTGCATTTTTATTATTTTTAAAATGTCATTTCATTTCATTTTATAGGCCAAATTCTTCGTATTATGAACAACAGCCTTTTATTGATAAGAATCTAACACATTTAGGCAATATTAATATGTATACAGTGAATGTTGGTGAAGAAAATTATTATCAAGCATATTTTGTACGAGTTCAAGCAATGAATTCTGTAGGTGCCGGTTCGATAATTAGTGAACCAACATTAGTTTATTCGGCAGAAAGTATGCCACAGATTGCACCGGCCGGTGTAAATGCATTGGCATACAATTCAACAGCATTGAATGTAACATGGTCAAAATTGGATACAAGCCGTGAAAAGATGCGTGGCCGTTTGATTGGACATCGTATAAAATATTGGAAAATGAATCAAGATCCACAATATGATGCATTGACATTATTGAAACGTGGTCCAAATCCATGGGGATTGATTGTTGGTTTAATGCCCGATACGGAATATTATATTGCCGTTATGGCATATAATGAAGCCGGATCCGGACCAGAAAGTGAACCATTCTTGGCACGTACATTTAAGGCTGCACCACAACAACCACCAACATCGGTAAATGTTACCGCTATTGATTCTCGTTCCGTATTGGTCACTTGGCGTGGTATTAGTTCATTAACAAATGCTGAAGAACCAATCAGTGGCTATAAAGTACGTTATTGGGATAGTGATCGACCAATATCACGTGCACGTGAAATAATCAAACCATTAGATGGTAGTGATTTACGTGCCATTATCAGTGATCTAATACCGGGAAAAGTATATAAACTTCGTGTACTTGCATTTAGTAATGGTGGTGATGGTAAAATGTCACAACAGGTGAGTAAACAAAAAAAAATTTTTATTTCATTTCATAATAATTTCATTTCAATTCAATTCAATGTATAGATTGAATTCAAATTAAGCGATGGTATTGCGTCACCATATCAGATGAATAATGTTGATGGAAGCGAAAAATTGTCACAAATATTGTTGACATTATGTTCATCATGGATACTATACATTTTTCATATTTATTCATGAGCTTTTTATTCTGTCCATTTCCAGCTATTCAATCGATCTAGAAAAATCATTTTTTTTTATTTTGTACATGTATTTATTCTCCAATTTGAATGTCACAGTTTTTTTTCTACTATCAAATCAAAGGACAAATGGAATGAATGATGACACACCAACCACATTGATTGATCCTAGTCGCAGCATAATTTCATGTAATTTTTTTCATTTTTTTTTCTTGATGACACATCAGTTCACACACACACACACACACTAAATGATTTGCCAGATTTTTTTTCAAAATTGATTTAATTGATTCATTAACACATTAACTACTACCACTACTACTACATATTACTGACAAAAGAAATGAAAATAAAAATGCTCAATATTTTTTTTTTCTTTGAAAATAATTATATCGATCAACGATTCAATTGATTTGTTGGTATCATACGAATGATATCGTTTAGATTTAATTGAATTTTTGGTCGATTTCCAATCGATTCACGATAACGATCTATTGATTGTCGTTGTCGTCCATTTGAATCTAATACTTTATATTCGATTGTATCATCCGTTGATGGTGGTGATATTGGTTCAACCGGTGCTATAACCGGTGGTCCACGACGATTCATCAATATGTCCAATAATTTTGCCAACGTACTGGTAATGTATTCAATCAGATTCGATGGACCACCATTAAGCCAATTGCCTTGGGTGAAAAATTCGTTTATCACTTTCATCCATTGATTAAAACGATCATAACGGCGGCGTGTACCGTCCGGTAATTGTGGCCGCACTGGTTCCGAATCTGGTTCAAATGATTCTTGAGCTATTGAAATTTCAAAAAAAATGGTCATTGATGACAATCAAAAATTTTACAATTAAAATCTAATGAATGACTGAACCTATACCTTGAACTTGTGTCGACAACATCAACATTGAAATCAGCATCGTCATCAATATTGATCCAATGAAAAAATGGTTAATAAATTTCGATGACATTTTTTTCAAAGTGTAAAAAAACAATAATACAATAAAGATATCGAAATATTCAGATGATTACGATAAGAATTTTGATTATCAAATGATTATCAATCAGTCGTTTTAAATCACAGTAGTTTTTTTTTCAATCAAGGACACATATTTATACATATCGATCGATTATGATTGGTTGAATGATGATGACAAAACCACCATTCATTAATTGTCATCATTCTGATTTCACAACATTTAACCGAAATATATAATTTTTGTATTTACAGAATGAATGAATTGAATGTTGAAAGATGGAAGTAATAATCATATTCATCATTTAGCACGTGTGCAACAATTTTTTCTTTTTCTGTTTGTTTGCACACTTGATTTGATCTACACACACACACACACACGGACAATACATTAAATCACATTAGTTAATTTAAAAACTGCTTTTTTTTCTGTTTTTGATTCGAATTGATGACTAAATGCGAATTCGATAATTATTATTCCCTGTGTGTAATATTCATAATCACCATTGTTTTATGAATACGTTTCTCATGCTTATTAATCATCAAATGCGGGATAACAAAAAAAAAAAAATTTTTTTTTCAAGGATAAATTTGGTTTCACGCAATCATTTATTTATTGACAATTTGATGATAATTTTTTTTTATTATTAAAATTTCAGCTGATGTATTTGCCGAACACTAGATGGCAATAGATCACAAGTGAGATTTTTGTTTTTTGTTTTTGTTCGGTGGATGGTTGTGATGACAATAACATGGCATTATTGATTGATTGATTGATTGTGATTGATTATGATCGAATTGTGTGTGTGTGTGTGTAAATCAATTGCAGATGAATTCGTGAAAAAAAACATCATCATCATCAACAACAACAACCAAAAATGAAACTAAACTGACCAGAAAAGAAAAAATGGAAAAATTAAATTAAATTAAATTGATTGATTGATTGATTGTCCTGTACAGATAGATTATTTGTATGACAAAAAAAAACAAGAAGAAGAAGCAAAAATGTTCAAAGAAAAAACTAGCCTTCAATCAATTAAGTGTGTGTGTGTGTGGTGTACAAATTGAATTTACTTTTTTTTTGTTTGTTATATGATCCATTATTGTCCACATCCGTTCCATCATTATCATCATCATCATCATGGTATGTAGTTCATATTTTTCTTGTCTTACATTTCAGCTTAATAATTCTATTCATCATCAGTGATGGATCATTTCCTATATCCTGTTTTGCAGAGTTTATCATTGTTGTTGTAGGAGTAGTAGTTAGTTTGAGTAACATTTTTCCGTTTCTGTTTGAAAATGACCATCATAATAATGATGATGATGATGATGATGGTAATCAAGATGGCTCGGATGGACACAACATTATTTCTTTCTTTATATGGCCTTTATATCTTTATATTATATCAGGCCAATTTAATTCAATTTCTAAGAATTTTTTTTTCAATTTTCTTTTTTTTCGCTGGATCCAATTTCATCATTTATATATTGATTTTTGGTGATATTTTAGAATTGTGTAAAAAAAATCGTAGGTGGAGGAAACTTTTTCCCGGGAAATTTTGCAGACAATTCATTCGTGACATATAACGACAATCGATGATGATGATGATTCAAAGTGATAACATCGATGATGATGATGATGATGACCGTATAGTAAAATGTATAGCAGATGTCCATATCGACCGTCCGTCAGTCGGTCGGTCGGTTGGTCAATCGACCGATCCTCCTACGCTTTTTTTTTATTCCACCATCTAATTTCATTTTCTTTTTTTTCAGTCCACGAGTTTCTAACTACCGTATATTCGCGTCGATACGCCACGGGTTATGAACGTTTCTAACAAACAAATGCACCTAAATGTGACCATTGCAACCCAATATCACTAAATGCTTTCGGTGCGGGGCAATGGCGTAAAAATACGGTAGAAAATTGAAAATTGTAAATGATATCAATCATTTTTCGTTCATTTTAGATTTTTCGATCACACACAGAAAAAGAAAAAAAAATTTCTTTTTTTTCAAATTTCATTTCTCATTTCTTTTTGATAATGGAAAATTTTCAAGTTCCACTTTCTCTTTCTCGGTGTGTGTGTGTGTGTGTCTCTGTTAGTGGAACCGAAACGACAATAAAATCATCGCATCATGACTGTTATGGCGTGATGGTCCATTATATATTGATCTTTCATTCGATCGATCGATTGATGGCAAAACAACTTTTTAAAGTTTCGTGGAAAAAAAAGACTTTTAATCGAATCAAACGAAAAAAACAAACGAAAAAACTTTTTTTTTCTTGGAAACTGGACTCGACCAAAAGCAGAAAAAAAATGAAAAATTAATGTAAATTTTTTTCTCTTTCTATGTATTCCAAAACTAAAAAAATCGAGGTGAGTCAGAGCAGCTGACTGGATGGCTGCAGTTTACATTAGTGTTTTTACAACAACACAACCGTCGATTGATACCCTTCATTATTGATGGTGTTGACCATCATCATCATCGTTATTGTTATCGTTATCGATGACCGTTAAAATCTATATGTCTGTTAGCGTAGGTGTTTGTGTGTGTGTGGGTGTTATGTAACAACAACAGCAGCAGCAGCAGCAGCAATGACATTTGGTCATAATAATGATGACCGTTATTTTTTTTTTTTTTTTTTTTGGTGCAACCGAAGAACACACATATTTTCTCTGAAACGAAAATGGATCGATTTTTATTTTATGTTATTGGCCATGTGTATGTACCATTTATGACTACGACGACTACGACGACAACAATGCGTAGGCGGCAAAGGTGGCCGGTTTTCCAGCGTTTTTTTTTATTGTTTTGGTTTTTTTTCCATTCAAACACAACAGTGGTATAAATGGACTTTTACATTTCATTCACCACATTGTTTGCTTCCTTGTAGACTAAATATTAAGCTCGTGTTTGATATGATTTTTGTTGTCGTCGTCCTTGACATTATCTGACTATTTTTTTTTTATTATGTTCATTGATGATTATGGCCGAATAACACATCTGGATTTTTGATGTTCACAATCGCCACCACTACCACCACCCCCGCTTGCTTTATAAAACGGAAAAATTTTTCACAGCATAAAAAAAAACTTTAAACTTTTGTTCATGGTCATCATCATCATCATTATCGTTCATTCATGGCCATGATTATTCAGGGTTTTAGTTTGGGAGAAAAAAAATTTTTTTTCTCTCAAACTTTTTTTCTTTCTTTTTTTTGGCACTGAAATATATATATTGATTTTCCATTGCACATTCAATAATGATGATAAATTTGTTGTCTGTTTGAATGCTTTTCGGATTGTTGAAAAAAATTTTCTTGGTTGCCAATATATTCTTATATACTTTTAATGAGTGAATGAGTGTGTGTGTGTGTGTGTGGGTGGATGTTTCCATGGATCGATCCACCATTACCATAGCTGAAAGTGAAATATAAAACTTGACTAGAAATAAATAAATAAAAAAAAACTAAACAAAAATAAAGCTTTTTTAATAAATAATAATGATAATCAAAATAAATGACCATTAACACCCGAAAAAAAGCCAGAAAAAAAATAGAGAATAATGGATGAATGAACCCAGAAAGAATAAAACATTTTATGGAACACACACACACACACACACACACACCGAAAAAAAACTGAAAATAAATAAAAGTTTCAGTTTGTGTTATTTTTGGCCAACTAATATGTAATATCCATTCGTTTTGGGTTTGGTAAAAAGGTTTTCAAATTTCAAATTCAAATACTTTGCAGCCAAATGGCGTGGGTGGTATTTGTAAGCAGAAATTCTTTGCTCATGATTATAGAATAATGATGATGATGATTCCTTTTTTTATTGGCAATAATAATGACCATAATGATAATAAAGTGAAAGAATTTATAGAAGTAGAAGCATTAGAAAAAAAAGTTTTAATACTTTATTTTTCAATGAATAAACAAATGCTTAGAAAGTGTGTGTGTGTGTGTGTGTGTGTGTGTATGTTTCAAAATGATAAACAACAACAACAACAACAACAAAAACAAAAAACAAGGGTAATAAATAATTCTGAATTCCGTCTTTCAGTTTTCTTCCTATCTCATTTGTTGTTGTTTTTTTTTTTTGCTATTTATATATAACCATGACAAGCCTCACGGGCAATGAATCCAATGAATTTTTGTTTTGTTTATTTTTTTATTCGGAATTTCGATAAAACTTTCAAACTTTGTTAAGTATGTGTATACACTGGTTCACAGTGTAGAATAGATCTATTTTTTTGTTGTTGTTGTTTGGTTTGTTCCTTAAACATCAAATTTATTTTCATTCATTCATAAATCTAACACTATTTCTATAGTTTTCATATATTTGTATGTATTGTGTTTATGTGTGGATGGATGTGATCTAGGGAGACAAACAACAGCAGCAGAAAACTGTCTATAATAGTCTGACTGACTTACTGGCATTCTGATTGTTGTTGTTGTTGTTGTTATTTTTCACCCAAAAAAAAAATCATTCGCCAGTCAGTCATCTTTTCAAGTTCCATTAATTTCGATTTTTTTTTTATTTAATGTTTTGACGACGACGAAGAAAAGAAATGATTCTGATTTTCTTTTTTATATTTTAGTTTTTTTTTTCGTTGATATTTCATCCTTCATACATCTTTTCTTTTTCTTTTTTTTTGGTAAACTTGAATCAAAAGAAAAAAAAGAATGGAAAAAAAGTGGAGAAAATCTTTCGACCAGAAGAATACGATATAATGTGTTTATGATGATGATGGCTATGGATGCAGACCAAATTCTGAATGGAAACTTGTCATTTGAACACAGAAAAAAAAATTTCACAACAACAACAACAACAAAACGGAAAGAGAGAAAAAATCTTTACTTCTTGCTATTCTTGTTGTTGTTTTTTTTTTGAAAACGACAACAAATTCTGTAATCGATAATTGAATT